ACTGCCCCAGAAACCGTCATCTCAGTTTTTGTATTTATGTACGTATTCCACTGTTAAATTGGTTAGATATACTGATGAGTCGAGATTCATAATATTTGTTGTTTTTAAAAAATTGAAATTTTTATGTGTAACTGTTAACGATGTAAAATTTTCTTTTCGTGCTCTATGAGCCGGTTGGCCTGAATAGTGGTGAGATAAAGCTTGAAGAAGCATACAATGTAAATATTCCGCAGGGTATACATGATTATCAATTATAGGATTCGGTCGAAAAGTAAAGAAACACTTGAAAAAGTATATTTATTTGTCTGAAAGAAAAATTGTCACTGAGTTGGAACGCGGTAGTTTTGTAGTCCATGCGATTGACTATCCAAATCAGAAAACCGGAAGTCGATATCTCGATTAGTTCAAAAATGAGAACAAAAAATTCAGAGGAACTCGCACAAAAATTTTGCCACTACTACGAAAAAGTGTGCCAGCGCGTCCGGATAATGGTTAATAGCCACTTCGAAAAAGAAAAAATTCATAATGGAGCAATTTGCAGAGTTTTAGATATGTATGAGGGGAGGAGGAATGCTGAATTCAAAAAATTAAAAAATCGTCCTGCTCGTGTAGCGACCCCCAAAGTGATACGTAGACTTCAGAAGGAAAACAAAAATAACCTTGGGATATCAGATGGTAATTTGGGCTGCAAATTGAAAATATCAAAATTAAGTTTACATGACATTAAACCTACGAAGTTGGGGGTCAAATCCTATAGGGCGACACCTGCACCAAAGTACAACCAAGGTCAGCAAAAAAGAGCAAAGCCCAACTCTCGGCAGATTGTTGAAAAACGAGTCAAGCAAAACATGCCCGTGATTCTGGTCATGAATGATGAGACCAATTGCTCGAATGATCCAGATGAAGTCCCTGGGAGGAAGTACTACTCATATACTAATAAGAAAACGTTTAAAGATTCCTTCAAAGACACGCCGAAGTCAAAATTCCCCATAAAGCACATAATCGGGCAAGCATTGGACTCATTGGGGGACGTCTCAAAGCCGTTCGTGACCACAGCCACCATGACCTCGGAGAGATATCTGAACGATTGTGTAAAGAAGATCTTGATCCCCTCTATCAATAATCGTAATGTACTTTTCTGACCGGGCACAGCAACATGTCATTCTTCAAAAGTTGTTCTGGACTACCTGCAGTCGAAAAAAATCGATTTTGTTGCAAAAAAGGAATATGCTCCCTACGTCCCTCGGGCAAGACCAATTGAAAGATTTTGGGCATTATGCAAGAGAGAATATAGTTGTCGAACAAAACCACCCAAAAACTTGGTAAGATTCCGTCACATTTGGACACAAACCTCAAAAGAGGTAGCGAGAAAGAGTGGCAAAGCACTTTTGGAGACCGCGAGGCAAATAATTCGCCAGATAAGAAGGATGGGGGTCTATGGACCATATGAAGCAAAAAATTGAACGATACGGACCTTGTTCTTAACCCTTAAAAGTGTCATTGGAATTAATTAAGTTTTCCGGATTTTACAGGCATTTTTCAAATGTTTCTTTACTTTCCGACCGGACCCTACTAGGAATATGAAAAATAGGACACCTTTGAGCATGTGTCCTTAGCACTTGTCGTTAGTAGCGACACCGACGTATGCTCAAAACTTTGATTGTCGGTAAGACCTTGGAATTTGTAAGTTTTCGACGCCTAAATAGCTATCGAAACGAGATAAATTTGTCGTAATTTGCTGTTAATTAGGATCCGTCCATATATTATGTAAACATTTTATGGGGGGAGGGGGTCAAGAAGCTATTGACGATTGTTGACGAGGGATTGGGTATGTTGGTTTGCATATGTTGATGCCAACTTTGTTTTGGGCAAATTGAGTCGCTGGATTGCGAAATTCGTAATGAGTTTCCGCAACTCAGCTCAAACTCATTATTGTTCAAATCACTCATTTTCAAACGAGTCGTTTGAAATGAATTGAATGAATGAAATGAATTGACTCAAACTCAATTCAACTCATCCTCAGCAACTCATGAGTCAAATGCGTTGACTCGAACAGTTCGAGTCGAACTCATTGGCAGTCCTAATCGAGAGAGATCGAAGGAAAAAAATATAATTATGCGGCGGTTACGTGCTTATCAAAAATGAGATTTATGAATTTTTAGATAATTCGCAATTTTTTCGCAATTCGCAATTTTTCACAGTAAATTTGCTTAAAAATTAATTGGAAAATTTTTTCAAAACGATTTGTTTATAGTATAAAAATTTAGCCTTAGATTAAAATATCAAAGTTGCATTTACCCTAAAATTAATTATAGACTAATTTTAAATTTTGTACACTCAATATTAAGAGGACCCGTATTTTTGCATTTTTCTGAATACCCGTTTTAGTCCGTAACGGAATTTTCAAACAAATTTTAAGCTAAAATCTTGATTTTGTAAATTCTATAACTTTTTAAATTATGACATAATTTTAAAAACTCGAAAACATGTCTGCTCACAATGACTTCCCCATTTTACTTGAGAATTTTCTTGGATAGTTTGACAAGTTATTATAAGTGGGTTGAAATTTTATCCCACTCCTACACCTAAAATAAAGTGGTAGTAAACGTAAGAACATAACTCCTCAGTTACCAAGATCGTTGTGAACCACTCCCTTAATCGGAAATGGATTACAAATTTTAACGATTTTTTTTCGACAATGTCGTTAAACTCATAACGACAACATTTTCCGACGCCTTGACGACAAATGATGAGCATACGTCGTTATAATTTGTCGTTATTAAGGCGTCGTTAATTTACGACGTCGGTAAGTTAAGGACGCGTTCGAGCATGAGCTCCCAGTTGCACTATTTATGTATCTAACCGTTTACTAATGTTTATTTGAAATTAATGCTGTCATAGTTGTCACCAGGTAGTACATACAGTGTCGGACAGATGTCTACGTCCACATAGTCGCGTCAATTTCATTTTCAAATTGTCACTGAACTACTGAACCAATTTTCATCATTGATATATCAAATTCTCACAAATTTAACGTAATTTCATAAAACATATGAGTTATTTCTGAAAATTCTGGGAAAACTGAGAATCATAGTGCAGAGCGAGAGAGGATGAAATTTGAGCGGACAAAAGTCTACGTCCACTTCACTTTAATTGTCAACAACAAAAATCTCTCCAATTTATAAAATCAGGTAACTTAATAAATCTATCAATAACATATGCCGCATTAATTTTTAAATAATTTTCTTCCAGAAAAATATGATGGCGTCGACACGCAAGGAAATTCCTATCGCTATTCGAGATCTTGTCATTCAGGACTGGAAGGGTGGACAAAAAGGGGGCTGTCGCAGAGACAAATATGGACCAAGTATAAATTAGCAAGGACAACCATCCAGACAATCATTAAGAACTTTAAAGCTAATGGTTCAGTCCAAAACAAGGTCAGAAGTGGTCGAAAACCGATTTTGGCTCACCGAGAAGTACGCCACGTGCTCAACAAAGTCAACGTTACACCCTCACTTAGTGCTCCAAAGCTATCTACCGAGATCAAGGAGATGTTCGGCAAACAGGTTAGTCCTATGACCATCCAAAGAACACTGAATAAGGGAAATTTGAAATCCCACAGAGCAGTCCGGAAGCCTCTTATTGTACCGAGGAATGCAACCAAACGAGTGAAGTTTGCCAGAGACCACATTTCCAAGCCACAAACATTCTGGGACATATTTTATGGACTGACGAGTCAAAGTTCAATGTCTTTGGGTCAGATGGGCGTCGTAGAGTGTGGAGATATCCAAAAGAAGCATTGAATCCTAAAAATCTCAACCCCACAGTTAAGCACGGCGGCGGGTCGGTAATGGTGTGGGGATGCATGGCTTCAAGTGGGGCAGGAAAAATGGAATTTGTTGACGGAATTATGGACCAATACAAGTACCAGGGAATACTTGACCGTAATATCCAGGAATCTGTTCGAAAACTTGGACTTGGACGACGATTTGCCTTCCAACAAGACAACGATCCGAAACACTCTGCCACGTCCACCATGGAATACTTCAAGAAAAAAAAATTCCGAAGCTAGAATGGCCTCCCCAATCTCCAGACTTGAATCCCATTGAGCATCTGTGGGACCACATTGAAAGAGAAATAAGAAAAAAATCTTTTTCAGGAATTCCGGGCCTAAAATCCAGAATTCGTGAAGTTTGGGAAACCATTTCTGAAGATGTGACCAAGAATTTGGTAAACTCTATGACTCGACGCCTTGAAGCCGTCCTTAAAGCGAACGGAGGCCCAACCAAATATTAAAAATTAATTGTTATAACATTCCTTATAAATTACAGTTTTTTTTGTATGTTTTCTCTGACTGGACGTTGATTTTTGTCCATCCAATTGTTTTCATTTTGAATTAAAATACATCTCTGGCCTAAAATAAATTTTTTAGCGGAAAACTAATAATGTGCTATGAAATTACGTTAAATTTGTGAGAATTTGATATATCAATGATGAAAATTGGTTCAGTAGTTCAGTGACAATTTGAAAATGAAATTGACGCGACTATGTGGACGTAGACATCTGTCCGACACTGTAACTTTGTACACGTACTTATGTACATATAACTGTACACAAGGGTACCTACAGACACTTATTGTACATATATAATGAGTTCGTTTAAAAACGGATAAGTACTAGTGTCTGATTTTTATACGTATGAATGTATAATTATACATTTACAAATGCACCAGAAACTCCACATTACATAATGTCCCGAATAAGTCATTAGTGTACACAGAATTTAATGCATATTTGTATGAACAAAACACTTACTCAATTTTGTTATGGTTAACTTATATTGTTCTGTTGTGCATATCAAAAGTTAAATATACGATCTATATGCATGACGCTTAAAAATGCATCAAATTTGCATTGTGTGATACCCATTTATTTCTCCTGTCTTATGTCGTGCTAATGACCATATGTATGTAATGCTAAATGCATTAGCAGTCCTGCAAATATCATCCAGTTATTTGTTCCAGTCGACACGATAACATATTATCATACTTTAGTTTCCTAGATATTCTTTTTGAGGAGTGAATTTTTTGTGCAAAAATGAACACTGATTCCCTCGATATTGGTGATTTACCTAATTAATTAATTGATTTGCTTAAGCAAACTTATTTATTATGCATGTTTTTAGGTGAAACTTTCGGAGTGAAGCAAGATTCTCTAGTTTCTGGATACACTAAAATTCTGCAAGACATCATAAAAGATAGGCGAATTCGCTGGGAGAATTTTACTCAACAAAGCTTCGCACGTTTTCTCCTTGCTCATCCCAAACTTAAGAAGAACTGGAACAAGGATGAAACAAGGATGATGGATGGAAATAACTATGACGAATGGGACACGACCCTCTGTGCAAAAGTCCTCCTGTTACCACACACTATTTGGACCCAGTACCAACTTCCTTTCCCGTTTAAAGTTACACAAGACGAGATAACAGCCATCGAAGATTTAAGGAATCTACGAAATAATACAAAGCACCGAGTAAGCGAAGATGATATCACGGAAAGAGAATTTGAAAAAAATTGTCGCCTCGTTTCAAGTAGGTTACAAATTTTGGGAGTTAGTACCGTAGAAATTTCCAAAATAATCGAGGAAGCCAAAGTTCTAGCTGTCGTGGACAAGAACAAAGTCACAAATCACATCAACAAGCTAAAAGAGACGGATTGGAAATTCAAAACCCTAAAAGTATTGGGAAGTGGGTCTTTCGGGATCGTTATCCATGCTCAAGATGACATAGATGAGTCGAACAGTGCAGTCAAACTTATACCAAATCGAGAACATGGACTCAAACTAGAGGAAAATGAAACAGTAATTAAAGAAGCAAAGTTATGGGTGGATCTAAATCATGATAATGTCGTGAAATACAAAACTGCCAGCTTTTTTGCCCTTTGGCCAGCGACGCTTAAAAAAATTTTGCATCTAGACCAAACAAGTACCCACTTAACCGACTTTATGCGTGCATGTTTTCAAAGATCGGATGAAACGAAGAAAATTATAAAAGGGCTTTATATTCAGACCGAATTATGTGGCTCTACGCTGAGAAAGTGGCTCCACATGAGCCAAACAAATCAAGACTATTCTGACCTGGCCCCTGAAATTTGTCTTGGTCTGGTCTCTGGAGTGAATTATATTCACCAGAATAGAATAGTACATAGAGACTTGCGACCGGAAAATATATACTTCAGTATCGGTCGAGATTTCATGCTGCCCATTAAAATCGGCGATTTTGGCTTATCTACCAGATTACTTGTGGAGCATGACGCTTCAACGTTAAGCAAAGATGTAGGAAATCCTCTCTATCGAGCTCCAGAAATGAGCGAATCACATGAGACAAAATCTGATAAGGCAAAGTATGGGTCGGCCGTGGATGTTTATTCCGTGGGTCTTATCATATCCGAAATTTTCGATCCAGAAGTATCCATTCAAGCAACCAGGATGAAGTTTAACAAGATAATCTACAAACTGGATACTGGGAGAAAGATTAAGAGGAATTTTCCCAGGCTGGACGAGATCATTCTTAAGTTTACGAGTGAAGAGAGTGACGAAAGACAGGATAGAGATGAGTACGGGAAGACAATGCCAATGTCGATTTGCATGGAGGATTTCCAAAAATCTGAGTCACCTAGAAGAATGCAGGAAATTCCCAGAGCAGCGACCACGTTTGCAACCAATTTACATGAGTCGACGCGTCGCATGGAAAGTTTGCGATTTTCAAGCAGTTTTCAAGATGAAAGTGATGATGTCGTCAGTCCTGTGCAATTTCACTCCGGTAATGTTTTATAGTTAATGAATTAACAAATGTATTTGTGGAAATAATCTAATTAATTTTGTAGCACCCCTCCGCACGAGATTTGAAACACCGTCACCGAACTTTGTGCTGGGTGATCCCGGCTATGGAACAATGGACTCTGGCCATTTGCAAAAAGATAGTGAGTTTCTAAATACTTACATATTTTGTAAAAGTGTATAATATCAAATCATGCGAAAAATTCTGCTATATAATTTTTTATAGATATTGTTCACCTTCGAAAATTACTTCAGGGAAACAAGCAAATGTGGACTGATGGGAAAATTGCGAGGTTTTTTAATTGCTTGGAAAACACGACTCGACATCTTCCTAAAGATTTTGATCCGAACAGTTTAAGAACATGTGTCAATCGCAACTTGTACAGAATTTTGGAACGGAATCCTAACTTACTGAGCAAAGTTAAGTTAAAGGATGCCTTGAATCAGTGTGGATTCCTAAATTTATCGGGTAAATATAACGATGATTTATCGATCAATGCATGATGTATGTACATACCTCTGTATGTATAATGCATGTACTCTACATATTAAATATTTTTAAAATATTACAGACAAAGTCGACACACTTCCATTTAGCTAAAATTGGAGTCCATGGATTACAACAATCAACCAATGAGGAAGTTTTGGTACCACTGTTTGCATTTCTGTTAAATATTAATCTGATCCGTTTAATTTAATGATACATAAATATGTTGTATATAGATTAGTCGGTTAGGGATTTATGTGAATAAATTGGACACAGAAATATATAAATAAAAACATTATGAAATAATTTATACTTTTATAAACCCAACCCTAGACCACCCTAGTACAATATCCAATTATAAGTTGTAATAAATAGTATTTAACATTTATGTCATTATAAATTACAGGTAAGAAATAAGAAAAGGACATATAATATTGGGTGTGATTTAATATTTGACAGTGATAGTTTTCACGACGGGTTTTGATGGTTAGTTCGTAATTTACGTGGTTTACTAATTTGTCCCGTGAATAAGGTTTCTATGCATTAAGAGACCTTTTTCAGAGTGTAGACGAGACCCACATTGCTCACATTCGAATGCTTTAGGTGGTAAGATGGGTATGTGGGAGTCGTCATCGATAGATGGAGAGCAAAGGGGAGTGACAACCTTAGTAGGGGTTCGAGAAGAAAGAGTAGAACCAGGGAGGGTGTGGGTGATAGTGGGAGTGAGATTATTTGATTTAAGGAGCACACTATTCTCTACGTTGAGAGCAGAATCATTTGTTGCTTTAACGTCAGAGAAGAGCAATTCATCTAATTCATCTTCTATCGATGTAGAGACCACTTTCTTCTCTATGGCAGCTTCTGGCTTGGATGGTGGTGGTGTCACTAGTTTCGACGGTGGTGGTGTCAATAGTTTCGACAGTGGTGGTGTCAATAGTTTCGACGGTAGTGGTGTCAATAGTTTCGACAGTGGTGGTGGCATTTTTTGTACCATTGACGATGCTGGGGGAAGTTTAGCTTGGGGTGGAGCAAGTACTCTTGGTGAAAAATCCATCTCTCTCCTCACCACGATATTAGTTCTCTCAACAATGGCGTCAATCTTTCCCGTAGCGGCGAAAGAGTCTCGTGGTGCGTCTGCAACGAGCTCTTCCCTCCTTTGTTTACTCCCAGTTTTGTCTCTGTGCATTCGATCAAGGTGTGCATGGAGAGTAAATTCACTATTGTACCGCCTGGGGCAGAGGGGACATTTAATGGTGGTGATGCTTTTTGGGTGGACCCGTGCCTGTAAGGAAGAAGGGACCAAGTTGTTACAAACAAAAAATGTCTGATTTGTATGTCAATTTATATCCTGTTATATTACATACCTGATGAACCCTGAGTGCCTTGCCCGTGTTGAATCCTGCCGTGCATAATTTGCACATGAACGCACTGCAGTGTCCTTTTAAATGTGTTATCATAGATGATCTGGTCGAGAAAGATTCCAGACATGAGAGACATTTAAATATGGCTGTTGGGATGTTTGTCGGGGGTTGGGGAGCAATCGGTCTTAAGGGTGGGACTGGTCGACGATTGGGTGGCGGTGGTGGTGACATCAGCAGTGTGCTCGATGATGTGGATTGTGACAAATTTGTAAGTGTCACTAATTGTGGGGGTGGTGGTCCAAAAATAAATCTTGTTTGAGCAGGAGCTGGTGATGGTGACGAGACAGTAAATGGAACTGGATTATAAGTAGCTATGCCTCCTAAATCTTCTTCATATGATGGTAGAATGGAACTCATTGTCCAATCCGGTTCAAGTGGGGCTATATTATCGACAGTGGGAAACCGTATCTTCCGTCTGTGTTGGGTCATTTTCCTACTGTGAATTAAATCATGAAAAATTAATAATTGAATTTTGTCCATGTACATATACTCTAAAATGCTGATTACGTTTACTCACGCTAAAATTCGTGGAACGTAGGGTTTTGGAATTTCCGGAGTCTTCTCCTGTTCAACCTCAACGACTGTGGAATCTTCGTTTGGAGGGACGAACAATGATTGGACATTCACAACGGTGGGGAATACATCGGGTGATTCAGGTCTTAACAAATACACACGATTAAAAATGACTACGACTTGAGGGAAAGCAAATAAAATTGTAGTTTATATACATACTGATAATCGTTATATTGGCCATAATCATTCAGTCTTATCGTCTCGTAATTCATCTGACCATCATCGTTAGTAGCATAAAATTCATCAGCGTTGACGCTAACGTAGTCAACTTCTTGCAGCTCATTATCATCATCTATCATGATAACTGGAACTGAGGCCGATGGAGTTGGGTTTGCTAATTGCTTTATAATGTAAGTAGTCGTTGCGGAGTCTTGGTTTGTATCTTGGTCATCTTCTTGTATTGGAAGAATTTGCAGGGAACTTGGAATTCGTAAAAATCTAATCTGATTCCCACCCGTGGAGGATGATGGCATAGATTTTTGTACCGGAAGTGACGCTATCCTCCTGACTTTGTTCTTCTGCATTTTCTGCAATATTGATTGAGTTGAACCTCTGGCAAATGACGAAAGTTGTGGATTTCTTTGCATATTGTGAGCGCCAGGCGATGTTTGTTTCTGTAAAACGGAATTGTTCCACTTTGAAGTTCCGCATCCGATTTTTGACCTGAATTCAATAGGAATGATCGCATTATGTTTAAATGACTAAAAAATTAAATCTAAATTAAATCATCTTACGCCAAATGTTTCTGAAGCTGCTGCTTGGCTGCATAAGCCTAAACAAGTTTATTAATAATTGAAGAATAATTATTAAATCATGCGTCGTCATTAATAATATAATATTTTTCTAATCGTTAAAATGCTCGCACCATGTTACACCCTGGTCTAATACACCTAAATGGCTTCTCGCCCGTGTGAGATCTAATGTGGAGCTTGAGATTCCAATTAGATGAGTGAGTCCTTAAATTTATAAATATAAAATAAATTTAAAAAAGTCATAATAAGTAAAAATAACTGAAACCTTTAATCAAACTGATAAAAAATAAAATTTAAACGGTAAAACTTACCTTCCACAGTAAGGACAGGCAAAGGAGGGATCAAGGAGACGACGACGTCCTAATTTTGGCTTTGGTGTAGGAAACTGTAATGAGGGTTCCATATTTATGGGGTTAGATCCCCCAATTTTTGTCTTTGGCTTATGAGGTTTGCTATAGCCTTCTTGGTTAACAAGGACATTATTATCTATTGCACGTTTAGCGACCAGGACGGGTTGTCTTTGTTTCTCTGGAGATTTATTATTAACGACCTTGGCGGCAGTGACGGTATGATTATCACGATTATCTGGGCTTTTAATAGTTTCAGCGATTGGCGAAGCTAAATTGGTGAAACCCAGTTTAGTCTTGGGGGTGACAGGTTTGGCTTCGTCTGGGCTTGGGGTTTTATTGAGTTGTGTGATAAGTTCCTTATCGGGAGTTTTATTAATTTGCGCGACGACTTGCTTTTCTGGAGTCAAACATTTGGCAGGGGAAACTGGAATACTAATACTAATTTCCGCGGGTATCTTGGCGGTATTTGGTGGTTCAATTGGGGTAACTAAATTTTCCTCTGCAAGTTTCAAACGATTTTCTAATGTCTTATTCTTTTTGGCGAGAAATCGTTGCAGGTGGATTTTATTATGATACTTTTTCGGTTGAGCTGTTTTACAAGTTTCGCCATTAGTGACGACGTCTTTTTCCATAGGTTTATCAGTGGTCAGGTCATCGTGTTGAATTTTTGCAATGCTGCAAATGTCGTCAGTGTCATCGCTACTGGGTAAATTATCTTTACCTTCGTCAATGATTTCCTCAGTTGCAATATTTTCATTTGTTGGAACAAGTTCACTAGTGTCAAGTTCATGTTTATCCTCGTCCAACTTTCTCAATTTCTCAACAACTGTCGGTTTCTTATTTTTGGTCAGTTTGTGCTTTTTGCCAATAGTGGCGGCATTGAGCGGTTCTGGCAATTTTTGAACAAAACTGCCTCCCTGGAAGGAAATGCATACGAAATAAGGTTACATAACTTTATGCGTTGTAAATAATTTACATAATACTCGAACTATGTAAATTATTTTTGCGTATTATTAATATGCAGATGCCACAAATTGACTAACCATTCTTGACCTTGCCCGCGTTCTATATTCGGTTCTTCCAAATGTTGGAAATTTGGAAGGTTTTAATTTTTTCTGAGCTTTACACGATTCCTCATTTTCTACATCCTTCTCTACAGGTTTATGAGTTGTGACGCTATCATCGCTTTTCATCTCGGCATTTTTCGTATTAATAATTTCAGCTTCCGGTTTGTCACTCTCTACTAATTTGGGTTCCTGATCAGCCTTGAGGCCACTCTCCAATGTAGATTGAATAATATCAGTATCCCAAGAGGGGTCTAATTCCTCCCATTCTTTATGCAAATCACGTCTGCAAAAATTGAATTAGTGAAAAAACAAAATTTTTCATAAGCGACCCTCATTAGCATAAAACAGATAAGCAAATTGATAACCTATTACTTACCCTCTCGTACTCCTCCCATGAGAATGGGTGATATGACCTATAACCCCAAATTTATTTGGCGCCGTATGTCCACACAATTTACATCGGAATTGACCACCCATGTTTTTCACCAAACTCTAATCACACTGGTAAAAAACTTAATGTTTTGTTTTTCATAAAGTCAAAATATCATCACGTATTAATCAAGTGCATAAAATAAACGTTTCACAATGTCTCACATCTTCCTGAAATTACGCATAGTTTGCACATACCATGAATAGTACGTCACGTAACACGGGTTTTCTTTCACACGTTCGTATACGTACATATGTATGTACATATGTGTCACACTAATAGTAAATGATGTATGTTTAGGCTGATTAGGTAGATACACGGTATTTTTGTATTTAATATTGTGTAGTTATACCAGAATCACGGCCAATTAAGATGTAATTTGTGTTTCAGAGAAATACAAAATATTTAAAGTTTAAACAGGAAGAAGGCAGAAAACGGGTGCATGTTAATATGAAGCTGCGGTACACAAGTGCTTGTAATAACAGAGGAGGAAATGGAGTCAGATAGATATAAAGGAGCTTAGCTTTTGTAAATATGAAGTACTTACATACAACACGGTGTGTTATTCACTATTCATGATGACTAGGAGTTGGACGTAGGAGGGTAGCTTAGCATGCTTAGGGCTAAGTTAGTTCCTCGATTGCGCCACTGTTCGGGATTGGATTAGAACCAGCGTTTCTGTATTGCTTTAAAATATCAGAGTGCCCTGGAGGCTGAAGCATAATTAGAATATGATGATCGATAATACCTTGTGTCGCACGAGTTGTGTGGTAGAAATAAGTGTGTAATATCAGAGGAATTATGTATTATCGTCCACATTTGCGTGTATATTTGCAGATGTACGACTTAGGATTAATGCAAAATGCAGTAATGTACGGCAGTAACATGTAATAATTTACTGTATGTAACTTAACAGGTATGTTGTGTGCATTTTTTAAATTGTAACATGTGAATGATCAACTTATGCAAAGAGGACTTTAAAATTCACAATTTTTTAAAGCCATCATTACACATATATAGAAAAGAGTAAAGATATCCTGCAAGATACATAATTGAAATGAATGAAGAATGTTTTTCCGGACTCATTCGATGGACATAATGTCAAAAAGAATGCTGATAACGGGATGATGCAAACATATGCGAGATGAAGATGGCAAAAGTACGAGACTATTGGTCCACGTGGCAGGAATTAGTAATACTGTGTACATATGAATGTATTTACTTCCTCGATAAGATAAAAGTACGTAAATTACTTTTTAGACAATTATCTTAACTTGAAAAGGGGGGGGTTTCTTAAGGTTATTGCATATGTTCACATCTTAATTTATATATTTTCATAGCACTGTAAAATTTATGCATAATTAAGAATTTAACATATATGTACTTATTCGCATTGAATTTTATTTCGTTGACAACTTGTGTGTCCACTGGCCCATGCCGACTGGTGGCGAGTTTGGGGGTGGGGCTGGAAATGTGTGTTCAACTTTATTCACACTGATTGCTTCCGGAGCTGTTGTACTTGTAATTTCGGATTGGGTCCCCCTTTGCATGGAACGACCCACTATTTTGCTTGGCGGATGTGACTTCTTATGTGTAATAGCGCCATGGTCTTTGAATTTTTTGTCTTTGCTGCTACTACTCGGCGAGTCGTCATCGTCATCCGGTAGTACCAAGGACTCGTCGGCTAATTTCTTGCCATCGTCGTCAAATGTTAGAGGAATTTCAGTGGTGATTTGCTATGAAAATTGACAGATTTAAACGAACTTCAGGATTTGATATGCAGTCCTAACTATCAACTATGTGCGTAACAAGAAATTGTATAGAAGAAGAGATGAAATCACCTTACGGACCATACCTCGTCCCTGTCCTTTTCCTTCTTCTTTTTTTGCATGGTTTTTGCCAACGATAGCTAGAGTATTCACAATTTAAAATGGTGATAAATCTCATGGTTAGCAGTTACATTTAAAATGAATGCGTAACTTGGTTGATAGATACTTATGTACTAATGTTAGTTACAATAGTTTTTTCATCATGGCGAAAAAGTATTTAAGCTAAGGGAAATTGCAGTGGTATTTATATACCAAATTGTTGACAATTTTGATAATGCTAAATTAGGAATTTTTACAATTTGGAACAATTCGAGTATATCAGTAATTTTTACCTTTTTTGGAAGCCTTATCCTCTGTGTCATCTTTTTTGCCGACGGATGGATTGGCTAAATGAAGCGCAATTAGTTAGTTAGCATATGTATAATTAGCAATGTTACACAAATGTCAAGTGTCAAAGATACCTTTCGTTTTATCTCTAGTGGACGATTTTTTGCCACCTTTAGTGCTGCTAGAATCATCATCATTGTCGGGAATGACAAGCGATTCATCGGATAATTTCTTTCCGTCATCGTCAAATGTTAGTGGTACATCCGTTGTCACTGGAACCTGTGTAGTTTGAGCATCTCTGAATTTTTTCAGCCGATCGACCCTCTTTCCCTTCTTAGGCAGAAATGGATTTGCTGAAATGGATAAAATTAATTTTTCACCACTGCAACATTGATTTATTTTTTTGCTTTCACCATTTTTTTTACTGCTTGGGGTTGTCTCCTCTGGTGGGCTCTCGGTCGTCGTTGGAGCAGGGGTAGTTTCCGCGTCGCGAAATTTCTTAAGTCGGTCCACCCTTTTTCCTTTATTGATGGCAAAAGGCAACTTTTTCCGGTCAGAGTTAGGCGGAGTCTCGGTCGTGATGGGGACTGACTAACAAAGATTGTTTTTTCCAAAAATGAAAATGCTTTGCTTGTCTTGTGCATTATAATTTCTTAACTTGGACAAATTTTAACTATGTAAATGTAAGTACATTTTTACGAACCTTTGCTCTGTTGATGCCACGACCTTTGTCACTATTATTGGGAGGTTCGGTGACACGAAATTTGGCCAGTCTGTCAACTCTCTTGCCTTTATGCACTTTGAATGGCTTGTCTAAAATGCAATTTAATTCGAGATATTGCATATTGGATGAAAATCCTTTGCAGTATTTACATAACTATTCTACTGGGTATTTGTACTTACTTCCAGCACTGCCGGTCTGTGCCCCACCTTTCTTGTCTGCTGACGGATTATCGTCATCATTGTCCGGAATTACCAAGGACTCATCCGCTAATTTCTTCCCGTCATCGTCGAATGTTAATGGTACGTCAGTTGTCGTTGGATTCTCGGTGGTTTCGGCATCGCGGAATTTCTTTAGCCTATCCACTCGCTTCCCTTTCTTCGGCATGAAAGGGTTATCTGAAGCACAAAGCGACAAATGCATGTGTACATACATAAATATATTTTTGCAAAATTGAAAAATACCCTTCTTATTGCCACCACTTGGCTTCGGTTCCTCGGTAGTTGTTGGAACGGGTGTGGTTTCAATATTGAACTTCTTCAAGCGGTCCACTCTTTTCATACCGCGTGCTTTGTCCCCTTGAGTTTTTCCTACATTATTTTCAGAAATTTAAATTGAAATCAAAAATAATTTAGAATAAAATTTTTCTCAAGAATAAATCATTTTTTAACAAAATTTGTAAACGGTGACACATTTATTGTAACCCTACTCGCTATTTCCTATAAAAATTTCGCTACCTAAATTTTGCTGCGTGTCGAAATTCTCACCATGTTTCTTTCCCGTTAACGGCTTTTTCTTCCCTGCAACTGAATCTGTACCGTCCTCATCGTCGTCCGGTATTACCAAGGACTCGTCGGCTAATTTCTTGCCATCGTCATCAAATGTTAAAGGAACTTCAGTCGTCATTTGCTGTGAAATTTATAGATCCAATTTAACCTCAAGTGAATTTCTGGTATGCAGAACTATGTATGTAACAATGCATTAAGTAGAATGAGAGATGATAATCACCTTACGAACCATACCTCGTCCTTGTCCTTTTCCTTCTCCTTTTTTTGCATGGTTTTTGCCAACGATAGCTAGAGTATCAAACGATGCAAATTTAAAATGATGACATATCGACTGGTCAACAAATGCATTAGATAATGAAGACCAGCGGCGTAGCCAAGGGGGGGGCTAGGGGGGCTTGAGCCCCCCCAGAGCCCGGAAAAATAAAAAAAAATACGCTAAATACTGCAAAAAATAAGAAAAATAAAAATTAAGTTACGAATGGAGTTGCATGTTAAACACATTAAGGGCATTCGTTATTCCTTCGTACGATGCAAGTCTTTTACGTGTACAACTCAGATCTGGTTGGGACCTATTTTATTTTGTTTCCACAAAAAATAGGCATACCCATATGTTTTCGTTTTTCCTAATGCGCTAATTTGAGCGCGAGGCGCGAATTTTAAAGCATTTCTCAGCCAAAACCTCGGTTTTTTAAAACTCGAATTTTAGCGGAAATCCAAAAATTCAAAAACATGTCTCTTAAGAATGACTTACTTGACTTGAAAAAAATCCACATGTATTATTTTTTGAAAACTTTAAAATTTGAAAGTTTATAATTGCAATGCATTCCAGAAACTGGCAACAAATTTTGAAATTCAAATTTCGAGACAACTGGATTTTTTTAAGTCAGGTGAGTTATTCAGAATCGACATGTTTTCGAATTTTTGGATTTCCGCTAAAATTCGAAAATTTATAGAATTTTTAAAAACCGAGGTTTTGGGTGAGAAATGCTTTAAAATTCGCGCCTCGCGCTCAAATTAGCGCATTAGGAAAAATGAAAAAATACGGGTATGCTTATTTTTTGTGATGAACAAAATAAAATTGGTCCCATTGAGATCTGAGGATGAGTTGACACGTAAAAGACTTGCATTGTTAGTATTTTCATCGTCAAATAAGCTGCTATGTACAGCTATGTATGAGATCTTGTTAGTGTCGTAGAACTGACCTAAAGAATCACGTTTCTAGCGATACGGAAGCCTCGAGTGTTTTTCTCGGATTTTCAATGGACAAATTTTAAATTGTTGATTCACAGAAAGATTTAAAAAGACTCAGTGTTTCGGGTGCAAGTAACCACCTGCAAGAAATAACCGCAAGAAATTGGTTTCTTGCAGCTATTTTTACCCGCAAAAAATGCAAAGTGCTAGAAACTCCTTCCCGCCGCCATAGTTCTGTAGGCTCCTCGCTAGGTGGCGCTGTGTTTCTTGCACTTTCTTGCATTTCTTGCACCTTGCATTTCTTGCATTTCTTTCTTTTGCAGTGCAAAACCTACAGTGCAGACTCCATATAGCCCGAGTCAGGGACAGAGTCCGTGACTCGATACGTCCGAGTCCTCTTCTAAATTCTTATCTCAATTGACCTAAAGCTGCATATAGTCCAGAAGTGGTTTTTGGTCTTCATACCAAATTTCAGACGAAAATAACAACTTTTTAAAACGGTATGGATCCCCCAGGATCACTCTGGTTGCATTTTGCAAACTTTGAACTTCATATTATTTCATGCGAAGCCAACACGGTATCACCGTGTTGGATTTCATCTTTTTAAACCACTTTCTATATCGGTATGGGTCACCCCATAGGGTCGCTCCAGATAAAAATTTTACCAATTTCATTTCATATTCTTCCATTAAGACCTACACACAACCCGTGTACCAAATTTCAGCTTGATATGACGATTTTGAAAAATCCGTATGGGTCACCCCCTAGGGTATCTCAAGATGAAAATTTTTCCAACCTGAAGTTATTTTTTTCTATTAGGAGCCATTAGCAACCTCTGTACCAAATTTCAGCTTTCTACGACAATTTTGAAATTTTGGTGCATAATACCCCACCCACTCCGATGACCCCCACCGGTCAACCACTTGACCGATTTCGCCCATCTTCGAACTCGTTTCCTAACTTTGTCAAATATGGACATAGTAAAAATTTCAAGTCAATCGGTTCAGCCGTTTTGGCTCTATCGTGCCGGACAGACAGACGGACGGACATGACGGTTCCATAAGCCCTGACTCGGGCTAAAAATGAGAAAAACCCGCAAGAAACGAAACACTGAAAAGACTTATGTTTTTTTTATTTTCTTAAATGCTCATATTTATTTTCTCTTCTGGTGGAATTTTTAACCAAAATCAGAATCATTAAAAATGCTACAACTTTTCCAATTCTAACATGATTTCAGAAATTAAGGAACATGTTTGCTCAAAATTACGTTGAGTAATTACGAAAATCTACTTTAAAAAACTTGTAATGTTAAAAAAGTTGAGACTTTTCCCATTTTAAAAAATTCCGAAGTAGCATGAAAATTTACAACTTTAAAAAAATTCATATTTACATATATTTATTTATATTTATTTTATTCATATAAATATGAATAAATATAAATTTATATTTATTTCTAACATACAAATTTGGAACAAAAAGTTTTTAGACACGTATTTTTATAATCGGATAGAAATAATTGTGAGCAAACGTGATCTTAATCGGGTTAAAATTGGATAGGTTGCAGCATTTTGTAAATCCTGACTTTGGTTTTAAATTCGGTTACACGCGAAAATACGCGCATTAAAAAATGTAAAAAGATGGGCCGACTTATTTCTGTACACCAACGGTTTAAAATTAGTCCGGTCAGAATCTGTGAAAACTACGTCATGCTTCCGCATTGCAAGCTTACGATTTTTAAGAAGGTGGACCTTTGGTATTTTTATTCTACATTATATACGATACTAGGAATGCGAAGACAAATATGAATACCGTTTGTAATAGTGAGGCGTGTATTTAATTCGTCGTGTGATTTTTCATTAAACTTTGTTACTCAAAAAGCTTAATGGCGAAGGTTTTTATTAGAGATAGATTATTTTTAATCTTTGGACAAATTCCGATCATTGCATTACGCTCTTTGCCAATGACTATTGGCTAATTTTTCTCAAAGTTAAAATTGGTTTGAACTTTGATTAAACTTGAATACTTTGTTGTTGAACCCTGGATTTTGCCCGGATCTTTATGAACAATGTTTAATGTAAATACGTAAAACACGTATAGTAGTTGGATTTTTAACTAGCCACTATTATTTGCCGCATAACGAGGTGCCACGCTTCTTGCCAAAAACCACATGGCACTACAAATTATAACCCAAACTTGTGGACCCTCGTTAACGTTAGTCTGATGTTTTGGCTCTCTATTTCAATTAATTTTGACGAATTTTCTAGGCATCATTGGCAAGTAATAACTAAATATACTTGATTTTTATTTAAACTATGTTAGTCATTATTTTCCTGATATTTGGGACTGGTTGTCAGGATCCTCTTATTGGCGTAGGATTTTTTATCCATTTCCTTACAGTTTTTCCACGACATCGGATTTTGGGTACTTGCTTGATCTCGCTGAAAGTATCTCCTTTTTCAAAATTTGTATTTGTATTTTCGCCGATGGTGAAAATTTTAGGGGAAAATCTTAGATGTTTAGAACGTTATGTTTAAATCTATCTCTGGCTCGAGCGTAAATTGGGATACACGCGATTGACTGGAAATATACATAATTCTTGAGAAGCTTATGTATTGGTCGGGCATAATTGAATTGCATTGTGTCAAATTTGCTTGGTTTTTAATACTTAAACCGAAAATATATATAACTATGCATGTATTTATGCAGACTGTATTAAAATAGTATGTGTATATAAGTTAGAGTTAATAAGTACGCTCGTAAGGTAATGTACAAATTTGTAGCCTAAAAAGGCTGATCTAAATATTTTTTGGGCTGGGCAAATTTTTAACAAATTTGGATTATGCAGAGCAGAATATTTCAAAGTTTTGCAGAATTGTGTGTACTATGATTTGCAAATTTTCTGCATTAGTTTGTAATATTTTTCGTACCTTTCTTTGTGCCACCGTTTTTGTCCGATGGGTTGGCTAAATGAAGCCGCAATTATTTACTTGGCATATTTATAATTAGCAACATTTAAAAATTCCAAAGACACCTTTCGTTTTGTCGCCAGTGGAAGACTTTGCATCACTCTTGCTAGAATCAGGTTCATCCTCATCGGGAATGACTAGCGATTCATCGGATAATTTCTTTCCATCATCGTCAAATGTTAGTGGTGTTTCTGTGGTCCCTGGAATCTCAGTGGTTTCGGCATCGCGGAATTTCTTTAGCCTGTCCACCCTCTTTCCCTTCTTTGGCATGAATGGATTTGCTGAAATTAGTAAAGTTAGTTTTTGCATCAAAGCAAGCGAAAATTTTCAAACTTTCTTCTTGTAGACAACTAATACATTTATACATTTAGTTTTGCTTCCACCATCTTTTTTATTGTTTGGAGTTGTCTCATCTGGTGGGCTCTCGGTCGTAGTTGGAGCAAGGGTAGTTTCCGCATCGCGGAATTTCTTAAGTCGGTCCACCCTTTTTCCTTTATTGATCGCAAATGGCAACTTTTTCCGGTCAGAGTCAGGCGGAGTCTCCGTTGTGATGGGGACTGACTAACAAAGATTGGTTTTCCAAAAATGAAAATGCTTTGCTTCACTTGTGCATTATAATTTCTTCACTTGGACGACAAATTTTAACTATGTGAGTACATTTGTACGAACCTTTGCTCTGTTAATGCCACCACCTTTGTCGCCATTATTGGGAGGTTCGGTGACTCGAAATTTGGCCAGTCTGTCAACTCTTTTACCTTTATACACTTTGAATGGCTTGCCTAAAATGTATTTTAATTCGAGATATTGTATATTGGAGCCAAATTCGTCGCTGTGCATAACTATTATTCTGTTGGGTCTTTATACAAGTACTTACTTCCTGCACCGCCAGCCTGTGCCCCACCCTTCTTGTCTGCTGACGGGTTATCGTCATCATTGTCCGGAATTACCAAGGACTCATCAGCCAATTTCTTGCCGTCATCTTCGAATGTTAAGGGTACATCAGTTGTCATTGGAGTCTCGGTGGTTTCAGCATCGCGGAATTTCTTTAGCCTATCGACCCTCTTTCCCTTCTTCGGCATGAATGGATTATCTGAAGAATACAATTGAAGCACATTCCGTGTTTCGAAAAATACAAATGTATGTGTACCCTTTTTGCTGCCACCGCTTGATTTCGGTTCCTCGGTTGTGATTGTGGTTGGAACTGGCGTTGTTTCCGTTCTGAATTTTTTCAACCGGTCCATCCTTTTCATACCACGTGCCTTGTCCTTGTGATTTTTTACTGTGTGCAAATATTTACTCAGGTATTTATAGTTCAATAAAGTTATTTCGTAAATAAATAACCCCTTTCATATGTGTAATTCTAATTTTCGTGGGACCAACTTTATGTTGTTCAAAATAAATCAAAAAATACACAGAACATTGTTTTGCACTTTTCATAATGCACGAATTTTAAGGTTTCGTGGATTTCTGAAAATATTTTAAAATTGGAGAGTAATAATGCAGTTTCTGCCTGAAAAAGCAGGCCTTTTATCAAGTATCGACGTCTAATAGTTGTTGAATTTTACGCCAAGGACAAAGTACAGCACCAAACATTGTTTATGAAGAGTAGGTCTGGTAAAACGGCGTAGTTCACAAATATATCTGGCTCTTACACTCCCATTGTAAAAATTTTTCTACGCTGAATAATTCTCACCGTGTGACTTTCCGGTTGATGATTTTCCAGTTGACGGCTTCCCCTTCCCTGCCACCGAACCAGTATTGTCCTCATCGTCATCGTCCGGTATGACCAAGGACTCGTCCTCCAACTTTTTACCATCATCATCAAACGTGAGTGGGATTTCGGTTGTCTTGCTCCTTCCGGGGTTGGGTGTTGATCCACGCTGCAATTTTTAAATTAACAGGAATTCTTCACAATATTTTTGTTCATGGAAAACAAACCTACCAGGTTTTTAAGTCTGTCAAATCGTCTCCCTTGTTGAATCGGTTCGGGCTCTACAATGAGTAATGCAAACGTATTTACACACAAAAAATGTGTATTTGTACCAAACAATCAGAGTTTTGAAGAAATTAGAAGAGTCCGTTGCTAATAGAATTTGTAGAGCTTAAACTGTTTCTGCAAATAATGAACAATCTAAAATTCTCACTTGGCACTTCCGTCGTGGTGGAAAATATTGGCTTCTTCGTAGTTGTTGTGGGAGGGTGGGTGGTTGTCGTCGTCGGGGGAGGAGTATTAGTTTCGTACAATTCAGTTGTGGTAGGTAACCCTGGCACATCGGCTTTGTTATTGTCCTTCGTTTTTGTATCGGAGGAGGAAGGAGGTGACGACGGACTAGAAGGACTGAGTACCAGTGGCTTTTTTGTGCGTTTCATTCCCCACTTAAACATGAAAAACGGACTTCGCTTAGCCCTCTGCAAAGAATGGAGCTTCTTTTCCTATACAATACGTCACGTTGAAATTTGTGCCCAAAAAAATATTCCAATTTGATATTACCTCAACTCCAATATTTGTAAATATGATCACAATCAATAGGCAAACGGGTAGAAGGGACGCCAGTCGATACATTGTGCGACTGGTCTAGCAAATATTTGAATGGAACCTTAGCTAAAATGCGTACTTTTTAATTATGTAATCAAACAGAGTCTCATTACGCACAATCCAAGCACGATGATATGAGGGAATTTGTTTTAAAATGTAACTCTAGGCTCAGAACTCCTAAGTTCGGAGACCTTGCATTGTGCAGTAGTGGCGTTTGTAATATTTAATGATGAGGTAAAAATGAGAACAAACCGATTGTCTTCGGTACTTGCCGTTCTTTGTGGTTGAAGTCGTTAACAAACATTGTTATGTAAGGGCGTCACACAAATACCTATTTATTTAGGGCTTTAAACATGATGACAATTAAACGCGTACATACATACTTACATAATGATACAACCCGCAAGTTGGTTGTCATGCACGCCTGATCTGCATTTGATGCTGATTGACGTATAATAATTGTGTATGGAAACGGTTCTTGTAAAACTACAACCTAACTTACGTAATGGCAAATCGAGTTATCTGTAGCCAACTCTGAAATGTGTTACTTATATTTTTTTTTATATAAATCGATAAACTTGTCCATGTAATGTCTGTAATAAAACTGAAAAATTGTGAGCTTTGAGTCTGCTAACTTTTTAAAATTTGTGGTTAGCAACAAAAGTGAAATGAACGATTTTCGTATTAACTCGGATGACAAAATAATTTGTGGAGCTGGAATGACAGGTGTGTATTCTAAATATACTTGTGTATATAAATAATAAATATAAATAAATATATGTACAACCCATAAATTAAGCAGGATTCGTTTAACTCGAAAATTCGTGAATCCAAAAGCTCTGGTCAGGTTAAAGTTAAATACCTAATTGTCATACACATATATGTAAGTCATTATGCGCATGAAAAATTTTAACAATAATTTTTGAACTTTGGCTTTGAAGTGAAATCGATTATAATTATTCCACGAATTAAAACTACTGCTCTTACATAGCAGAGTTTAATTTTTGTGGAATTATGTTGCACATATTTATAACATAATCTCAAATATGCAAATCAATATTTGAACGTTTTCGTGACCTAGTCGGAGAATGTGAATACCAAAAAATAAATGACCTACATCCAAATCCACCGACAATGTTTTTTGCATATGCAAGATATTGTTTTAATAAAATGACGATAAGCCCATGTATTTATCCAGCGGTCAGTCACCTGAGGAAATTGTGGATTTACATGGATCCCCTTGGATAACTGTGCATGTATGTATACATATATTTACTTTGTGCATTAGGAAAAGCTCAATGATGATCGGGAAAAGATCGTACTATTGTTGTACTCAAAGGCAATTGAAACCAACTTGAAAGGTAGCAATTATAACAAACGCGTATTTTTCGGAAAATTTAGTGCGTGATTAGTTGAAAGATTCGACCCAGTTGACCCGGTTGTCGACCCAGTTGAAGGATTCGTAGAATTTGATTACATTATCAATCAACAGACTACAGATACATACTTTCCATTTGTTTGCATTATTTTTGTACAAGTGTGTTAAAGTCGATTAAGACTTACTTTTTATTTTTAATTTAGGACGCGATATCCATTGAATCGAATTTAAGTTATGATGATTAGATTAAAAGAAGGTAAACATTGGGTAATGTGTAATTTATTACCTGGGCATGGATGAATAAATCAAAGCGAATTTGACCGATATGCACTTTCCTATCCCACCGAGATAAGGCTAAAGAATTTTGACCTATCTCTATCTTTCACCAATATTGACAGTAGGACAGGCATAAATATGGAAACCTGGTGCACATTTTACTTCATTTGCATAATTCCTTTAAAGTGATCTACAGGTTAAATCTCACAAATAAAAAATCCCAACTTGAATCCATACACGGCCTTCATTAATTATGACCGTAAAGTGTAAATTGTATCATGTAGCTCTATTGGCTTTGTTAGTCCAGAGTTTTACAATTGTAATAGGAGACGATAATGGTACACAATTTTGTTCAATAGTACATATTTTATTGTCAAGTAATTCGCGTTTAATTAATCTTGACGGAAATTTACAGATTTGGATATATTATTCGAACATCATGGGACCAAGTACCTCATTGGATATGATTATGTAAGTATTTTTCTTTTATTACATCACTAAAGGTAACGATGGTAAAATAAATAAAATCTATTTTACCACAAGAATATGTAAGTGAAACTGTACCAACTATCTCCCAAGTCGAATATGGGTCATAAGTCTAAAAATTAGAAAACTAACAATAATCACTATTTTATAAGTATGTAAGATGAAACATTATTAAGGACATGTCGAAATTAATCCAAATATTTTCGATAGGTTGATGCAGATATGGCTGCAAAAAAATGCTCTCAAAATGGCTACCAACTCGTTACAATTCAAGGCGAGGAAATAAATCTCTTGTTGAAAAACTACTTGTCAAAAAATACTAATCGTAAGTTTATGTAAATGATTGAATCGTGTAAATCATAATGATGTAAATCATTATCATTGGAAATCTTTACAAATGTGTAATTTAATACTTCTTAACTTATAGTAACTGGTGATCTATGGACTGCGGGTCGATTGGAGGTTGAGGAAGATGCAGAAATTCACAATGGTACAGAAAAAATAAAATGGGGTGGGTTTGGCGAATCTGAAGAATATGCAGATTTTGCCCGTTATGAGACGCCGAGATGCAAGAAATCAGGTACGAATAAAATAGGCGCTGTACATACATATGCATTTCCAATTAATTTTAGCGTTGACCGTAACTTTTGTATATATTCGTGCAGGATGTGATGGAGAGTTTTGTCCCCCAAACTGTGGTGACACTCCAAGCTGCAAGATAACTCTGTCACCCTGCACCACAATAACGCCACAATGCGGACACGTTACCACAAATTGTTCCGCCGTGCGTGGAGACTGTTCGTCAACTTGTCCCGAGTGTGAAATTACTAGTAATCCAACATGCAGCGTCGTGCAGGGGTCTTGCACAGTGGAGAATGGAAAATGCCACGTTATCCCAGGACATTGCGAAACTTATCGACCAGATTGCACAACAATTCGTCCTGATTGCGTCACAGTGGCGAAACCGTGTCGATCCTCTTCAGTAAAACCGATTTGTCCCACGGCTTCAAATTGTTATTTTCTGGAGCATGAGCGATGCACAACGACACAATTGCCGTGTTACACTACTCTTCCAGCATGCACGACACGTAGGGCGAAATGTGCAGAAGAGTAGGTAAAAAAATATGACATGTATTGTAAAAACGCGTCAAGTTTGCAGCTCTGACGTCACTGTGCTCGTATCCTTACCATGTGAGCCAACACCGTAGGATAGGAGCACAGTGACGTCAGAGCTGCAAACTTGACGCGTTTTTACAATATGTACACATCCGTCAGCTTGTATTAAAATATTTGTGTGTTTTTAAGGTATAACTCATCGGGTGAAGCAACCAGATACAAGTGTGGCGAAACTACGACGACATGTGAGCCGCCCGTGGAAATCTGTCCCCCTCCTAAGACGACATGCAGACCTCCCATTGGGTGTGACCCCGTCGTGTGTCAAAGTCCGGTCAGGATTTGTGAGAAGCCTGAAGTCCACTGCCCAAATCCGATAACAAAGTGTCCTGACCCGATCGTTAAGTGTGAAGAACCCACAGCTTTTTGTGATAAACCAACGGTACGCCAAATTATATAATTTGCCAATTTAATGAATTTCCCTAATTATGCAAATATGTCTCAGGTAAATTGTCCAGCACCGGAAATTATTTGCACTCAACCTGCAGCAGTTTGTAACGGGAGTGATGTATCTTGTCCGGGAATCGTGACCCATTGCGAGTCCCCAATCCCAGATTGTCCAAAGCCTTGGGTCAAGTGTCCCAAACCGGAGGTCGTCTGCGAGAACCCAATTCCTTGTGACCCGGCGACACATGCCCCGTTAACAAACCCCACCTGTCCTCCTGGATATGAAGAATGTACTGATTGCGGAGAGGGGACGACTCCTATTTCGCCAACGACTGAAGGGGGTGGTTGTATTTGCCTCGGAAAAAATGTGGAATACAAGTGGGAGAAGAGGAATTGCTTTGAGAAGAAGCAATACTTATGCCAAGAGGGCAAATAACATTTTTTAATAGATAGAGTTTTGCATACCTTTTTTAACTATTTTAATACTTATGAAATGAATTTTGTACACCAATATTTAATTTATTTAAGAATATTTTTGGAACATAGTTTTTCATTATGTAAATGAAATTTTGCTAAAGTGTGACCGATTGATGAATTAGCCAGTTTATACGCTTGAAAATACATAAGTCCGTAAGTTCGGAAGATTTATTCACAATAAACGTACGCAGAAAATTACATACGCTGTTGATTTCAATCCTCCGTCATCCAGATAAATAATCGCATATTGACCACATTTGCATAAAGTGACAAGCGATTTTAAATGCAATTATTGTTAATCTGTGTGCGACATTTAATACGGTTGACATCAACATGTACGTCGGAGTTAATGTGAGCGTCAGATTATGGATTATCCTCTCAAAATAAAATCTATCCTTGTTATCCATATCAAGAATACCTTATCCGCTACTTATCAGTGGGTATCAGTAGGTGCGCCATGTGTATTTTTGCGTCACGATTTCATTACGCTGGTCAACTCAAAGGGAGGTATAAATAGCAGAGGAAATAATTTGAGAAGCATCAATTGATAATTTGAAGAATACTAAATCTGAACAACATTTTCTGAACAAATACATAATTTCAAACATTTAACAATTACCAAACAAAATGTCGATCCTGGTCAAGCTGTAAGGTTTTATTTTATTATTCTAACACTGCTCCATTTAACTGAATTTAATTTTAATTTATCACTTGTTTTTGGACAGGTTTATCACCCTTCTTTCTCTTATGGCAATAGTTGCGTCTACATTTGGAGGAAAAGCTGTACCAGAACCTAAAGCTGTTGCTCTTGGGCAGGACAATTCGACAATTGGAGTAGATCAAGACGCTTTGACGTGGTGCTGTCCGCTACAGGTATAATTTTTTCTGAATGTCAAAGTGAAAATTAAATCGAGTTCGGTTTTCATTGATTTTTTTTCAATTCGTCAGTGTTCAAACTGCCGTTGTCCAGATTGGACGGATTGGTGCTATGTGGCTGGAGGAAGTTGCTGGTGTGCTGCTTGAAGACCTGCAGCGTTATAATATGAACACAATAGTAGTTCAGCACGTATTGTAATTTAGTTGAGATATCTACATTTAATTTTTATACTGGAAATATTCACAAAGTAATATTTTATGAAGTAATATAGTAAATACAAACGTTCGATTCTCACTTTATTAGCGTTATCTATTTCAATACAGTTTCATTTTCTCTGTACACAACTTGTAAAATGCAGGTAACGTGTGCCAGACCACTGAAGCTTTCGCTTGCGATTCTAAAGACAAAGTTTATTGTAATTGACAAATCATATAAGAGTTTAACGTTCAATGTTATTCTCGATATCTGTATCCAAGTATTAATGACTTTGTAATTTAATTTAACCAACTTAAAAATAAAATAAATTTAGAAAAAGTTTAAAGAATTATTTTTTAGCAATAAAATTATGTCTATGATGCTAATTTGTGTTTAGTCCTTGGCTGCTAAGCGGGATGACTTGATAAGAATCAAAGTCATAGTTTGATTCAAACAGAAATTCTGGATAACCAGTGGAGTTCCTCGGTCGATAAAGTTAGAGCCAAATTTTATCTTGAGAACGGTGCACGCCTTAATTTTCCTCCTCAAGATGGACAATCCCATCCTTGACGCATCCAAGTTAACCATCTTATTCCCCAATTGCATTAAAACTTTTGCCGAAATGTTGTTGATCCACGAAGCAAGTGTGAAGACGAGCACATTGTTGACAGTGGAATCTCCGAAAACGAGGGGAAAAATGAGAAATCCGGGCATCGAAATTTCTTCGTGCATCTTTATACACACGTACTGCGTCAATATCTGCAATCCCGGCATCCCTGCAACCATCACTGGGACAATGCGGACCATTAGAAATGCATTCAGCAATTTTTCCATGATCTGAATGCAGCGATACAGCTTTATGCAAGCTTCGACTTCGTGCCCTGTTTTAGCTTCGTGTATTCGTCTGTAAACGAATATTACTGAAATTAGCGAAGTTGTACAATGGGTTATTATTATTGTAATGTTATGCACATACTGTTCCACGACTTGGAAATAATTGAGCATGACAACCACACCGACGAAAAGATGAAAGCAGATCCAAAGTGCTCCAGCCCAGAACATGTGTGCTTGCATCCAAGTTTCGAAAATTAAGATGTAAATTTCAATTCCACAATTGTCCCACTTTATGCTGGCACAATTAGTCGACATGGACAGTAAAAAAGGTGGAGAGCACGGGTCGAACATTATCAAGCAAAAGACAGCCAATGGAATTACAAGCAGGGTGAATTGCACGACGTGAACGAATAGTTTTATTAGCTTGGCCTGCAGCGACATTTTGGGAATGGGCCGACCTACAATTTGAATGAAATTGTTTAAAATTCTGAATTATAACGTTACAAATAAATGCTTACCTTGTAAGAGTTGGGTTTCGAATTCCATCGCAGAGTTGATGACTTGCATGGCAGAATTGTTCAAACTGTAGTTCCATCGAGCAGCCAGGATCACGATATGCATCGAATAGAAAACTAAGCCCTGAGCTTTTTTGGACATGGACATTTTACCAAGGAAAAGCCCGAGGAAGAGTGTGACGCAATATCCTAACGAGAGGATCAATTGTAGGCGAAATATTGCAATTTGAAAAGGACCCGTTATGAGGACGAGTTTCTTTGATTTTCCATCAAAATCGGTTGGAATACTTCGAAGAAAACGACAAACGCGGATATGACGGATTAAAAGGGGAAGAAATTGGGTGGAATACATGATAAAAGTTGAGCGTAATGTGTAATTAGTAAATATTTAATTTAATTTACGAGGAATTAGTATTTCTTAAATACAAAATTTTACATGCAAACATTTGGCCTTTCTTGCGTGAAAGTAGGAGTCAGAATTATTATCTGTCTAGAAAGTTCCAGTTTGAAAGATACGAATGTTCTCCTGTGGGCCCCGGCTATCAAAGAATAAGAATAATCCTTCATCATAATTTAGATAAGTGACATAAGAATAGCTTTGTTTTTCTTATTGTTCAATACCGCTGTTAATTGCATACACGAGCGTGTATAATTATTGGTCTAATACTACACAGGGTGTAAAAATCGTGTTTTAAATAGAATTTCGTTTTACACTGTGTTTTTGTATTAAATGCTGAATATTTAAGTATTAGTCTGGAATAAATAAGTGTCCCATTGAAAAATATGACTAAATAATGAATTACTTTCAGAAATATGCCTATGTAACAAGCATTACAAAACTAAAAACTCACAAATTGTGACACATTACCAAAAACACAGGATTAGGAACCATTGCCAAACCCACTTCAGTCGTGTTCCACCAACAATAACAGCGTACAATTTACATTATTCATTATGGATGCATGGTATTTACACATTTACAAAATTTATAAAATCAAGCCTCCTAGTAGACCTACATATATAAGTATTTAGATGCGAGATATTAAATAAGTATGTATAAATTGATTAACTTGAATTATTGTGTGCAAAGTTTGAATACTGAACTGACAAAAAAAACTATGGCAAATATTCGGATAGTGGTGTCCGATACTATTTCAAAGAGTAAAAAAAGTATATGTACGAATTGGTGGAAGACTATGTGGTGAGTTTACTAATTTGGGGTGACATTTAGTATCATGAAGGTGCAATCAATTAGGTCTAAATTAATTTCTAAATTAATGCATATTTCAAACACTGACTTCAATAAAGGGATGAATATCAGTATTATACATAAGTACATATTTTGATTATGAATAATTGCAATCGTTTAGCGTTGTTCACCGATAATTACTCAATTTGTTGCGTGGGATGACGTTAACCTACTTACTTAGTAAAAGGCAAATTTCACCAGGCATTATTTTGCATTGTCAATTGTTTGACGTGCACCACGTGGAACAGGGAGAAATACAGCTTAGAAGTTAATTGGAGTAATGCGACATGACACAAAGTCCTGTATAAACTAAATATTATATTTAATGGATTACTACGGTTTATATTTTATTGGAATTAACTTATCTACTAGCCTTATCAAGTTATCACCGTCCATAAACTATAAATTGTGATTGTAAATATCTTAAGGTAAAATTCACATTTCCCTTCGGCAACTCGAAATTTTGTTTTTCGAGTTCTTCGAGCTTAGTCAGTCGCTGGTTAGTTCTAAATTGATTGTTTTAAGATACATAAATCACTAAAATCTGTGCGACATGAATCTGACCTACATAGGTATTGTCCGTGCATATAGATATGTAGATAATCGGCGTGGCCGATTATAAAATGACGATTCAAATTAATCTTCATATGTTAAAATTGTCATTATATCCCTTGCTTTTATCTATGTGAATTTGTAATTACTCGTGGTTTGAAAACATTTACCCTAGCATTTGCAATTCTTTGTATTGGTATAGTTATGTACATAAGTGTGTATAGATTCAATACATGCTTAAAATGTGGTTTTATTATGTACACGTACATGTGTATGCACACAATGCTCCGATTTGGACAATTCACTGGACATATTAAGTTGACCAGTGTTTCTTATCTATTCTCATTATGAGAAAGTACCAGATTATAGGACAGCACAATAAAGCATGAATTACATTCCATAATATCAACATGCCATTGAGTTCATAATGTCTGTATTGCATATACAAACCAACTAAACCACAATAAATTGCAGACGTATCTACATATCTATGTACAAGGTGTGCCAGCAATTCAATGTTATGTTATTCATGCATTCGGCGAGTGCAATTAGTTTTAAATTCATTACGAATTGAGACTGCAAGCTGTCTACTGATTTTTGCAAAAAGTTGTCCTCCGTCAATTTAAGTCAACCAAGATGGCTGAGGCACTTCGTGGCCCGGAAGAATGGGTTCCACTTACACTCGAGAATCGTAAAAAGATTTCCCCCGACACTTTTCTGTTTCGGTTTAAGCTCCCATCGCCAGATCACATCTTAGGTCTTCCGGTTGGACAAAATATTCAGGTCCGGTCAGGTCATAAGGTAAATGGGGAGGACGTCATCCGAGCCTACACTCCGGTTTCCTCGAATGACGATAAGGGTTTTATGGACCTTCTCATCAAGGTAAAACTCGCATGCATGGAAATAAAGTCATAAATTTCATAGGAAAATTTGTGATTTCAAAATTAGGTCTACTTTAAAAATGTGCACCCTAACTTCCCAGACGGTGGAGTCATGTCTCAATTCATTCATGGGCTTCGAGTTGGAACTACGTTAGATGTTCGTGGGCCTACGGGGAGATTGGTGAATATTTTATTATGATTTTTAAGTCATTGTTCTGCAATTTACTTTATCGTCATTATTTAAAATTCGCCTTTTTATCTTGCACAGTTGTACTACGGGCAAGGCAAATTTTCAACTCGACCCGATAAGATAACAGACTATTCTCAACCAATTGCTGTCGCCAAAGTGAACATGATCGCAGGTATGCACGAGAGTACGATGCAGTGAAGTTAACTGCCATTATTTTTGACAGCTACATAAATAAGCAGAGTCAAATGGAATTGCTTCTGTGTGACGGAATAATTAGCATATTTATGTATTCATAATTACATTAAATAAAATTCGTGGAACTATAATTTAGGTGGGTCAGGAATTACTCCTATGCTCCAAATTGTGCGTGCCATTCTAAAGGACACATCTGACCTGACTAGTATCGCTTTGCTCTTTGCGAATAAAAGTACTGACGACATCTTGTGTCGCGAAGAGTTGGAAGAGATTCGAGACAAGTGGCCACACCGAGTCAAACTTTGGTTTACATTGGACAGTCCACCAAGCGAAGGTTATATTTAGCTAAATTGCGAAACGTTAAAAAGTAGCCAATTATGTATGTAACTTGGCATTCGTACTAAACCCTAGGATGGAAATATGGGAGCGGATTCATAACAGCGGAGATGATAAAATCTCAACTGTTCCCCCCATCAGATAACACAATAACGCTTATGTGTGGACCCCCACCAATGATCCAGTACGCATGTAATCCAAATCTTGATAAATTGGGTTATCCAGCGGAACGAAGACATGCTTATTAATATACCACAAAATGCACTACATTATTGATCAATATAAATGCATGTTTAAATAAGTATATGAGAAGACAACTACTATTTGAATAAATTAATTGTTCACAACGCTACTTAATACATTCATGTTTCTTTAATACATTACGATTTGTCGTGGCTAGGTTAGCCTATTTATAACGAGATTTTGACTTGCATACATACATATGTACTCATGCCATAAGTATGCCAACTTTACTTTTACCGAAGATTATTGGAACATTTAAATATCTATAATTCAAAATAATTTAAATAAGCGAATATAAAAGAGTACTTGTGCCTAAATTCTGATCCATACTTGATAACAGAGTTTAATACGTAAATGACTATATAAAAACTCATGCGCCATCCTTAATTATTTGTCATATAACAAAATTCATACTTGTGCCTAAATTCAGATCCACAATTGATAACAAAGTTAGTCTGTACAAGTGTAAATGACTATGTAAAAACTCACGCACCATCCTTAATAATTTGTCATGTAACAAAATTGATTACACAATTTGCACCAATGCCTCCTTCTTGGCAGCGTCGTCGTACGATGGCGGTGGTTTGTCGTCATCGTCGTCAAGAAAAGTCTCCCAGTACGCGGGTGGCTTGTTGTTGTCACCGGAAGTGGTTTCCGCCGCATTAGCGACATCAGCACTGGGAGAAGTGTCGCCTTCTCGGTTATCTTCACCCAACGGAATTAAAATAGTTCGTGAACTTGACGCAGTAATGAAGACTGGAACAGTGCCCCCATTGACTGTGGTTGCTGTGACTAGCGTGGGTTGGCGGTTATAATGATGCGAAGGTGACGTCGTCGTTGCAGCTGACCTGGGCACCCCGGAACCTTCTGCACATAGCCGTGCGCCAAACTTGCTGCGAAACAGGGACAATATAACAATATTACACTTTGTAAATTTCAATACAAACTAATTCCAAGTTACATAATTAATTGGGTAAATACTTACCAAAGCACGACTATGAAAAAAACTACAAATCCTATCGGATAATACGTCACTCGTGTGCTGCTATAGGTCGGAGTTGAGTCATAATTTTTGTAGTTGTAGTTATAGTTGGTTCCAGTGTCGTCGTTATACTTGAAATTGTAATTATTGTCGTTTGGAAAAAGATAGGAATAGTTTAGCTGGTATTTGGTGTTGAGTATATTATCAAAATCAAAGTTGATATCTTTATTCTTAAGGGAATTGTCGATTGTGGAATCACTTTCTGCAGGCTTTGGATTTACATAGGAAGGCTTATAAGTCTTATACCAAGTGCTCCAGAATGGAATTGTGGACTTGGTCGGCTCAATTTCTGGTGGAATTGTTACTTTTTCAGGTACAGAGGTTGTTGTAGTATTGATTATGACACCCTCTAAAAACAAGTCGATAACAGGTAAGTAGCTGTTGTTTGTAAATTTTTATTTGAAAGCCGGAATGTGAATTAGACAAGTTTACCTCTTTCAAGATCATCACCCAACTTGCTTCCATGGCACAAAGAGATTAGAGAAATGAGAATTAATGGAAACTGGAAAATTTGGCACGTACTGAATTTTAAGAGGTTCATTTTCCGTAATTAGTATAATCCGGTTATGCCTTCTAAAGTCAAATGTGGTAATTATTCTAGATTTTCACAATGGAATGGAAGAATAAACGTTTGAAGACAATGTCCGTCACACAGACATGCTCAACTTGTTGAGTGTTTAGGTATGTTTGCGTCAATGATTGAAGAGAAAGAAGCAGTTTTTTGTAGTGGTAGATATTCTCAGATGTCTTTTATGACGACTTTTCGACTGAATAAAATTGGCATGGATGAGATACATGTATTTATGACGGGGAGGATGGAGGTGGAGAAGCTTACATATTGTGCATTTATGTACGTGTAGATCCAGTAAAATATACTGACTTTGATTTTTAAGCTACTAGCACTGACTACTCGGGATCAAAGTTGCGTTAAGAAACATGTTGAAAAGGTTGTGCATATACATAAATATTTTATGAGCTTATGCATATTACTCGGTACGAGCTATTAATCGGTTTGTTTGTACCCACTCGTACTGGGAAGTCCTGTATTTAGAAAGTTCTTAAAGTTGGTGTATGCATGTACATAATATGCATAATAATAATATGAATTTATTTTAACAGTCAAAATGAATAAGTATGAAGCGAAACTTCATATAAAACCATGGCTAATAAACGTTTGGTGGTTTGTATGTTGTTCTCTCTTGGTAGATCGGATTCGGGACTGCGGCTTCATTTAGCGAGAAACGCTAATTATGTACGTGCGCAAAATTTTTGCATGCGTTAAAGTAATATGTTATTGCTTATTGAATATATTGTGATTGTCGGTGGTGGTGACTTTTCTCTGAATGTTGAATTATTCCGTGTAAAGCATCATGTACATACATATATACGTTTCAAGTATGGAATTAAATATCTCATTGCAATAATTTAATATGATATTTATTTAGAACATGCTTACATAAATTTGTGCTTCCTGTTATGTTAAAGTATGTACTATGCATATGGAGGAATAAATTTGTAGTTAATGGTAAATGAAATATTTTTATGTAAAATATGGATATACGAAAAATTGTGTCCAATGTACATACATATGTATTTATCAATTGCAAGTTACAACCACACATTTAGTGCAGAATTTAAATGCAATGCTTGACAATGATCTTCCAACATGACAAGTTTGAACATGTAAAGGTTGGATTAATATTATACAAATTATGACGACGCCACATTGTTGAGGTATCAAATACACAAGTTCAGAAGAGCCGAAACCTACTTTCTGAAACTGAACACCAAAACTATTTACATTTAGCATATTTTTTTATGCAAGTTGATCCTGTTTGGTGGGTGATGAATATATCTAACTGATTTTACATAAATAATGCGGTTGTCATGTGACAACTCTGTGGCTTCAAGTGACAGCACGAGTATTTTTCATTGGTTTCAACAATTCATGAAACTATTCAGAGATAAATGGAAAACCCATTTTCTAATTTCATGACTGAGTGCGCATCATTACCGTTACTTATTTATACTGGTACAAGCATATAGGTTAAACAAACTTTGTCTGGATATTGCTTTTAACGGGATAAATTTGCAACTTTTCCAAAATATAAATAGGTTTATTTTATATATGTATTGTAAATACTATTGTAACTTTTCCATCCAAAGAATTTGCAAAATATATGACTGGCTTATTTATTTATGTATGTAAATATTTGAAGCAAGTACAATTCTGATTCTGTACGTAAATATGTTAGAAATTAGCTTACAGAAAACTTTTAAATACATATATGCTTACTCTAATTAATAGTAATAAATACGACACTGAACTTCACTTTAAAAATTTCCTTGATCTCTAATAATGGCCAAGATTACAATTTCTTATCTAAGATAAGAGATGCTTATCAATCAAAACATTTGCTCTACTGAGCTTTTAATTTTGTACCGGATGACTGGCCAACGCTCGAGGAACCCCATTCACAACGTGCAAAATTGTTTGTATTGCGTAATTACAAAGAACTACCTTTTTATTACGAAGTCACGGTCAAGTAGTGAGCAAATCATAACACTGTTTCACTAAAAAATATGCACTTTTAATTCTTATTTATATAATACTAAAAGATCATGCATAACATTTTTCACTTTCTAATCTAATTATGCAGTAGTACAAATTTAATCTCAAGTGTAGCACATACAACAAGGAGTTTAAGAATGTTAAAAAACTTAAAAAAACTCAGAAATTATAAAATTTAAAATTTTATAAAGTCAAAAAGTGCCAAAAATGGATCAACTCCTCTTAAACCTAAGTTATGGTCTCGGCTTACAACAAACAATTGGTTGGTTTCTTCCCATATTTTTGGGAACAGTGAACGTTCTTTCGTCCCTGTTAGCAATTTTCAGATACGCGGATAAAAGTGCAGAATACAACAGACAAAATAAGGATCTCAAAGAATTAGAAGGTCATGTTTTGTATGACTTTATTATCGGTGAGTTCGTACAAAGGGAAATATTATTTCCGGTTTACTTGGGCATTTTATCCATTACATCGTTAAATTCTTAGTTGGTGGCGGTACTTCCGGTTCTATCGTAGCAAATAGGCTGTCACAACACTACAAAGTGCTCCTATTAGACCGTGGAGGTGAGCCGCACCCTCTCACCGCCGTGCCTGGATTAGACCTAAAACTTCGCAGCCATCTTGAATCAGCTCAAGCTTATCTCACAGAGCCACAAAATGAGTCGTGCTTATCATTGATAAACAAAGTAAATAATAATGATTAAAGATTTTTCAGGATACACTAAGTCCAAGTAAACCTAAACAAAAATTAATTCCGTAATAGCAAAGCCTCTGGTCGCAAGGAACAGGTTTAGGAGGAAGTTCAACAATAAATTCTATGACTTACATGAGAGGTCATCCATACGATTATGACATTTGGGCGTATTGGACCAAGGACAAGAGATGGAATTACGAGTCGGTGCTTGCATACTTTTTAAAATCTGAAAATTATTGCTTTAAATGTGACTCAGGGAGAGGAAGGAATCCGACGCATCGTAAGTCTGAATAGCATAAATTCCAATTTGAGTTGTGTCAATTAGAAGTAATGATTTTAATTAAATGTCAATCATAATTAGCCGCGTTCCATGGAAGTGAAGGAGAATTACACCTTCAAAAACCAGACAAGACAAATTTGGCAAACATTTTTATCCATGCTATGGAATGGGCTGGAATTCCAAGGGCTGACTTAAATGCGCCATTTATTAGGGGTGAGAATTTACCTGGCGTCAATTATTTATTAACCCAAATTTAATTAAAAAATGGTCTTTTGCATAGGAGTCGATTTACCAACCTACACCCAACATTTTGGCAGACGATTGAGTACCAGAGATGTATTTTTAAACCCAATTAGAAATCGAGAAAATCTAAAAATTGTGAAATATGCTCGCGTTTACAAAGTCCTGTTTGATGGTGATCGAGCTTACGGGGTTGAATACGAGCAATTTGGGAAAGTTAAGCATGCCGGAGTAACGAAGGAAGTTATCTTAAGCGCTGGTACAATTGACACGCCAAAAATCCTTCTGCTATCCGGTATCGGTCCTGAACAACATTTGAAACAGTTGGAGGTTAATTATTCAATTAATTGTACTTACTTATTTAATTAGCTATATTTACAATTAAATAAATCACTGTTCCAGATTCCTGTAATCTACAACTCTCCACAAATTGGTGAAAATCTACAAGACCACGTGGGAACTATTCTCCCATTTATAATCAGCCAACCGGATTTACATGAAAACATAGATCTCAAAGCCGCACAAGAATTCATAGACAATGGAACTGGTCCATTAAGTTTCCCTTCGTCTCATGCAGCGTTTTCAATATTGCCATCATCACAGGCAGAATTTGTAGTGTATCCAGATATTCAGGTAGATATTCAATCAATTAATTATCTGTTCAATGATAAATTAAATCATAATAATTTTCCAGATCACGCTATCTCCTCCAACAGTCATCACCCCCATGACAATATCCACCCTCTCTAAAATCTACAATATCAATGAAAACGTGTTAACTCAATTTTATTCGGCTCATCTAAAACAAGAAAAGTCGACAAACGCCATTTTCAATTTGCTCGTCAATTACGCAAGACCTAGATCACGAGGAAGTATTAAATTAAAATCAAACAATTTCCGAGATGATCCTATCATCGATCCAAATTACTTCTCCGTAAAGCAAGACCTCGAAATATTAGTTGAAGGGCTAAAAATTGGTTATGAAATTGGTGAAAGTGCTCCAAGTTTTAAAAAATTAAAGGCACAATTAAACCCTACTCCGTGGCCAAAGTGTTCCGGGATTCTGTTCAAGTTAGTTATTTACAAATTAAAAATTGATTTGGGTAACTTTTCTGTTAAAATTGCAGATCTGACGAATACTTTAAATGTCTGGCAAAAGAATTTACGTTAACTTCACATCATTTCGTGGGGACGGTTCGCATGGGCGATGAACCAATTAGTCCATTAGACTCAGAATTGAGAGTGAGAGGTGTCCACGGCTTAAGGTTGTTTATACATAAATATTAAAGACAAAATTGGTACGGATTTCATATTTCGACTGCTCCAAATTTGTATCTTTTAGAGTTGTGGACGCGTCTGTAATGCCATTTATCACTTCGATGGACACGATGGGGGCCGTCATTATGATTGCGGAGCGAGGAAGCGGATTTATTTTGGAGCAGTGGGAGGAAAACAGTAATAACACAAATTATGATAAGCACCAAGGGCAATTTGGTGGGGTGGTGGAGGAGGAAATCATCAACCTTGTGGGAGACGAAGGTAGTGGTGGTGGTGAAGGCGAAGCAGCAAAAGGAAATATTAACCACATCGTTACACATAATTACTATCATGTAGTCAAAAAAAGGAACATTACTGACTCGTAGTGGTTGTAAAGAGTATTTTTGAAGTGTATTCACAAGTCGAATAAATTAATATCGAGTTCAAAGTACAGAGAAGAATCATGCTATTTTTTGTAAATATTTATGTATATAAAGTACAAATTTCGAATTTTAATATATTCGCAACAATTAGTCTATTTAGGGTAAAATTTCGCGTCTATAAATACTTGGCATAATCTGAGTTCCAATCTCTTTTAAAAATCTGAGCAACTTGGGATCGAATGTCATTATCTGAATCTACGTCACTTTTATTGTTCCGAGTGACAACAAAACCAACTCCTGCGGTTCCTGTGAAGTAATCTCCGGACCAATTTGATGTTCCTGTTAAAAAAACGTAGAATTTGAAAATTTCCGTATTATATAAGGCATTCGCATTTGTAATATAAAATCTCACCAATGAAAGCACTGTTGTCCGTCACCATGTATTTATTATGATTCACTCTGGCAAAGGGAATCAATTTTTGAGCTGGCGTTGCTGGTACTTTGAATAATTTCTAGGCAAACATGGCAGAATTTTAAAATATTTAAGGAGCAAAAAAGTAAGTATGCATTTACATATGTCAACTTACAACTTGAACGTCGACATTTTGATAAACATTATTAATATCTTGCAAAGACTTGAGAAATTTATACGTAGAATTTCTAGTATGATCCCATTGAGATATTAACAATCGGACGGAAACACCACGATCAATTGCTGCAGATCTGAGCGCATTGTCAATGATTGGCCAGAATCTAGTTTTGGCATCAAAATAATTTTTTATGACAGAATGGTCATCTAGCTTGTAGAAAATTTTAAAACTCACTTTGGCGGATGAGAGTACAAAAGACTAGGAGAGTAGTCCATCACAGCGATATCAATGAATTTTGTAGCATTTGTAATCACATCTTGTATGGCGTCAAGGTCAAAGGTTCGTCCTTTTGGATTAAATTGGGATGGTGCGCTCTGGATTTATTAAACAATGTGAAATACTTGGTAAAAACCATACTTTCCCACCCGGTATCCCCCCGCAACCGCCCCTACGGGTGAGCGGAAAATCAACCCCCCTGGCCGGTCAGAGACCGGGCTGGGGGGTAAAATTTCAAAATTTGAGTAAAATTGGTCAAAATTAACAAAAATTTGTTAAAATTTGACTAAAATTGGTCAAAATTTACAAAAATTTATCAAAATTTGACTCAAATTGGTTAAAATTGACAAAATTTTGGTCAAAATTTATCAAGTTAAATTGTCGAAATGACGATTTAAAAAAAATTGAAATTAAAATTTTTAACCCCCCTCTCAGAATGTTCACCAACCCCCCCGGCGAACTGACGAGGTGGGAAAGTATGGTAAAAACAGATTAAAATTATTGATCTCTTGCTTTGATTACCGATAAATATGACGAATATTTTTCTCCATTAAAAGAAATGTCCATCGGGTTGTCTACATGATAAATTTGAAAAGGCTTAAAACTTCAAAACTTCCCTTATTACAATTTTGTTTTGATACCTTTATTGTAAATCGTGGCATATGACGATGGCCATTTGTCTGGAACTTTTGAATTATTCTCTCCAAGTTTCCAGTACACCTGCATAATTTGTACAAAATTAGTAGCTGGTCTCCAATTATGTGTCATCCTTATTTATGAGTAATGAATCACTCACATCAAAAACCTTTCCTAAATCTTTAGCAAAACTGTCAAATTTAAAATATTAATATTAAATATTGTTTTTTTGTTATACTACTTAACCACTTTCTTGATTGATTAACGAGAATTAAATGAATTATACAAAACAAGTTTTACGAAAATATCAGTCTTTTAAATTACCAGGTACAATTTGTAGCTAGAATTCCAAGCTCTTTAACCTGCGTAATTTAATAACCAGATTGTGTTGTTAAACGATGTTCAAACTAAAAACAACAATCAAATGCCAACCTGAGTTAACGACTTCCAATCGAAATTGGCACTTCCCACATAAACGTGCGTTCTATCAACTACCCACATTTTCGTGTGAAGAACACCGGAACCAACCAGTCTATCAAAGTCCAAACTGCGTACCTGTCAGTCAAATAAAGGAACAACAATAATAAGTCAATAAATCAGATGAACCACAAAACAACATCTTTGAGTCAGTTAGTTCACCTCGGCAGCCTTGGCATTCTTCAAGTTCAAGGTGTCCAAATTGGGATATTGATCAGATGCGATGTTTTGAGCAATTTTGATCTTGATTCCTCGCGTCGTTCCGGCTTCCAGTAATCTCTGGTAGATATCTCGACCCTTCAAAGTGAGCAAAATTAGAAATTTTTATGAACAAGAGTAAATATTTTTTTACATGGCGCATTTTACCTCCTCCGTGTATTCGGGTGCAATTGAGTCATCTACCAAATTCCAGTAAAAAGATCCAATTTCAATCGATTCCTTTGCCAATTCTATTGATACAAAATTATGTCAAACATATGCATCTATGTATTTTATCCACTTATTCTGCGAAATTATATCCAATTTATTAACCTAACAGTTGGACCCAGCCGGAATATGTCGAGGAATGAGTTGTTGTCGAATTAAAGGTCAATCCTTCCGGTATGCTCTCCAGTAAATCCAGTCTGTAAATTAATGATTTGTTAGCACCTAATTTGGAATAATTTCTTAATCTATTATATGATTTTCTCTCACCTGCACTCCTTTCGACATTTTGCCCAGTCTTTCTTAAGTCTAATTTGTTCTCGAGTCGCATTTTCAATCTGGTTTTGATCGATGAGAGATAAAACGACGACCAGGATGATTAAAATAAGGATGATTGTGATAGGAATGCATGAAGGTTTGCACCATCTGAAATTAGGTTTTATGGAATAAAATACTCTATAAAAATGAATTATACGCTTAAATATTTGTAATTTGTTACCCTTCACACTGATTCTTTTCCTTATACCCACGTAACATGTAACCTATCATGCACATAATACATACACCATGTACATACACACACATACGTGGATCGTAAAATGCGTATTATTAAACTTACGAGCGTCGTGTAACTCAAGTTCGAGTTCTCCAAAATCCAATTTTCCCGAGGCTTCCACAGCGGACTGTCGTGTAAAAGAAAAAAAAGTTTTAAAAGTTTTTAATAACGAAAGCATAAAGAAAGTGAGACCAGATGGTCGTTAACAAGTTGCCGGCTTTGCTGATTTAATAACGTCTCACAATATGCATTTCCGTAGAGTAATCCCATGTAAATGGTATGTACGTATGTACATACAGATGTATATACGGATGTATATGCTATGCATGTTATGAATTGCATGCCCCACATATGTCGTGCATTTCTGCATATGTGACATTTTGTAGCTGTATTTCATAAGAATCAGTATAAGTAATTGTGAAATAATTCGATAATAAAGGTTAATCGTACGAAAGTCATACGATTATCGCAGAACAGACGACAAAATCCCATGCAATAGCCTACTTACTCAATCTTTTTCTGTCTTACGAGACATTAAATAAGCTGACAGAGAACATTTATAATGTCAAATTTTTATTGAGCTACATATTCCTCATTCCTCTCTGTCCAATATGTACATGAAATGAACAAGAACAAAAAGCATTCGTATTGATTAATCGACCCGGAATTGAACATATCTACATTAAACATTTAATACCCAGTAAATTTTAAAAATGGGAAATTGTAAAACAATGCATGTATGGACTGAGGATTGGTTGCGGTTCATAAATAATCACCACGAGAAATGATAACTACTCAATTGTCCAAGATTGGTGTGTATGTACGAAGCTTTTAAATGGTTTGGGTTCGGGCTCAGAGGAGAAAAATATCGACGAATGTTGTCCTTCAGAATATTAGAAAATATGCGAATATGAAACACTACACCGTGGATGATAGAAACATTTGCGTGGAATTGCTGACATTGTTCCTTCGTGGAAATGTACCAGGCTTTTTGCAACAACACGAAAAAAATGCGCAAAGTAATGGATCGATGACTAATCGTAAATAGCGGAACATTACTCTGCGTACATTGCAGCTATGCATACGTAAAGATCTGAATTTTAGTACAAATTTTAATTAAATATGTAAAAACCTTGTAGTGCGGTTGTCCAAACGACTTTTTTAAACTCCCACTGAGACTGTCGATAGAGTCGATGCTGGACCTGGAAAAACTGCTTTTTGAGGAATCCTTCCTCACGCCAAAATCCAGTGAAAACATGGGCATTTTTATATCCAGATTGAATGCACTTTGTCTTTTTTAAAGGATGAACACTGCTTTAATTTGAATATTTTAAATATGCGAGTTAATAATTTTCATACAAGTTATTCAACTCGATTTGTGAGTATTTACAGAGAAATTGGCAACTGCGTATGTATTTATGTGTGTGTTTAGTATTAATTCATACTTATCGCGTGTAATCTTATCTTATCTCTGTCTATACGGCTGACTACTAATAATCCGTGTAAAGCGCTTAGCGACAAAAGACCAGGGTATAAGTATCTGTAATGAATAACTTTATGAATCACAGTGCCTTATGTGACTCATGTCTGAAATAGTATGAAATTCCTATCAGGACCAGATATGCTATCGTCTTCTAACTATTCGACTCCTGAAAGTGAACTGAGACCAATTGGGTCGTCAACTTGGACTTATATTGCAAATAACGCTACCGTGCTCTTTCTCTCTCTCTTTTCCCGTCTAGTGAGGTTTGAGAGTCTTGTCTACCCGATATTAAACCCAGTATAAAACCCAGGAGGGATTAGCATGGAGGAAATATTGCACCCACATGAGCCAGGTAGCTGCATACGAATTATTACCACAATTATTACTTGACGTTGTTATGCTAAAAGTACATGCACACGATGAATTTCTAGAACTTTGGATAGGTGCATATGTACACGAATTGAATTATAATTTCATAATAAACAATGTGTCTGGAAAAATTGTCAGTTTTCCAAACTATCGAATCCCTAGATAATGGATGAATGAGCTTGTTTAAGGAAAAGAAAGAAAACAAACACTGATTCACACACATGTAGCGTGTGTTGTGTGTAATAAGTATGCAAATGTGTAATTGTTTTCACTGCGAGATTTTATGTAAACTGTAAAATCGACACTACAATGTCAAGGCGTACAGAAACCAAATAGCTTTTTGGAGGCGTTTGTGAATCAGTCAAGGAATTCCGAAAGTTTAATGACTAATCGTTGTACTTCATTTCCTCCAATCTGTAAAAATTCAACTTGTTCATTCTGCCAAAAATAATATTAGTGTTTTTTGTCTAGTTTTTAAAATCCAAGGTTTAAAGCTCAAATGGTATAGATGCACTACGCAATTTTAGACAAGGTTATTTGTCCATTATTAAATAGGTTCGCCTTGACTCGCTCAATGCACTCAGGATCCATTAGGGAATTACTCCACCCATGGACAAAATAAGTAAGCATCTATGTTGACATTCATCTACGTATGTAACAACCTGCAAATAATTTTGTTACACATTAATGTGTAATAATGGGGAACAAGTTATGACGGAAAGTCTAATGTCCATTTATTCATTACTTCAATTATTTTGTTGTTGCAACTTGTGATGACGCCAACGTACGTGCGCCATGCTATTGAAATTCGAAGAAACGAATAAAATCATTTTTTCAGAATTCTGTGGTGGGTGTTTCAGTCGTTAAACTAAATCCGACCCTATTCACCATTTAAATGTTTTCCAAGACAAATCCAATTTGCACTGCGTATTCCAATTAAATCTTATTGCATAACGGGAGGATTAAACAGGGATTTGTTCTCTCGGAGTAATTGTCTGTGCGGGTGGTGGTGGACTCGGGATGTTATTACGGATTTTATGGTAGTCATAAAAGAACGATTATTATGCTTTCTCTCCCTGTTTGCCAATTTAAGATTGAGACGCAGTACAAGCCGAAAAGTTTCCTTGTTGTTTTTGAGAGACGTGGTGAATTTCGGGGTTGCCTTTGTCAAAATTTGGCTGACGTGTTCAAAATATACCGACTAAATACACAAAATTTCTGTACACACTTATCCATCCTGTATACCAACAAGTCATCATTTATCATTTTTTGATGGACACACCATTTCCATATTACAGAACGGTTAATATATGTACTTTCATTAATCACTAATCGATTGTCCATTAAGGAAATTAAGCTTCACAACTCAATATAAACGATTTCGCAATTTGTTTATTCTGTAGCTTTCTTCATTGCAACTTTGCATGTCAGAGATGATTTTGACGATAAAAAGAACAATGCGCTCAACTAATGGAGTCTGGATTGTGTTATTGCGTAGCAATGGTTGGATCTACTGGTTTTCGTCAAATTGGGTACGAAATACATGGACAAAGTGAGTTTAATAAATATGATGAAAGTGTTATCTTATTGGAGTCTGAAAATTAAATAATATTTCAGGATTATGAAACTGTATGCACGTATTGATTGTAATATTTGTGATGATGCGATGAACATGTAAATAAATAAAGTGCTAAAAATAGTATCAGATATTAAATCATGAATCTCTCCTCAGACGTGTTATATTTTAACTGGTAGTTTGTCCCATTTTCACTTAATCCGCCTCAGCGCATTGCACCGACTTTTCGGATTAGGAAACCAATAAGTAAATACACTTACTTAGGAAGATGTGTTTTTACAAGATTATTGTGCTCCCATTTTTTTATGATGCGGGATGAGTGAAACGTGACCGACTTTAGAAATAGATTCCGAGATATAAAAATTTGCATATGCAACCCCTCTCCAAAAATGCGCTTACTAGTTTATCCAATATTTTAGCAAAATCTCACCGTATTTCTTCCCACCACACTTTTATCGTCTTCGCTTTCTCCACTGAAATCGCTCGAACTTCGATCGTCCTCCACAATGTACAAATGATCATCTTCAAATTTATTGTAATTACTGACGTCATCTTGCGACGACGATGCACCGTTTTTCTTTATCCCACCGGTGGAAACGCTGCCTGATTTATCGTCGTGTTTCAGAACTTCTAAAGAAAATGAAACCCGACTTAGCGAGCGTTTAATTTTTGATAACTTTGAGTTTTCCGTCGTCTGGTGCATGACGTTTGAAACAATTTAATTTTTTCCCACAAAATCAACAACAACAAATTGAAAATTTATTTACAAATAAAAACTGCACGAGGGAGCGGCAAGCCCTCTGCTTTCTCTTCTGCTGTGGGTGAGTAAGTAACTGCCAAATCAACCCGACCACAATTTATTAATAAACCACAATTTCAGTAATAATATGAAGGAAAGTAAGATGGTCGATTAGAGGAGAAAGCACAATGTGCCCTGTTTTCTCATGCACAATTAATGCCAAACGTGCCTTTTGTTTCTCAGGTAAGTCGTAGTACGAGTAATAATAATAATGGGATTGCTATTTTAGACTCGATATTTGACAGATTAGTAGTGCATGCCACTTGGAACAAATACATGGACATGTCAATCAAAACGTGAATAAAGAAATAGTGGAAAACACAGGCTACAATTGGTATGATGTGGTTACTACTTAGAATTTGAATTGTATAATTTATTGGCGTGCTTCATTATCACCTGAATTTGAGAGATGTCATCAAAAGTCTGATTCTTATGACACAATTTTACGTCACAAATTATTATGTCTATAACTTAATTTCATATGTTTTGCAAACTTTGCGACATGCAAAAGTAGTTAACTCAATAAATAAAACCTTATAATTTCCCCTTCATCGTCATAACCTCGACAATATCTTTCCAATAATCGTCACGTTCAAACCCTCTCGGCGTCATCATCATTGCACTTCTCAAATGCTTGTAAACTTCTCCATCCGAGTTTCCCAGGGCAGAATTAAGCACGAAATCCGGCGGAGCTATGGCATCCACCAACGCGATCGCTTCCGGTTTGAGTTGTTCACAAAGTTTCAGTATGCCCTCCCTGATAACGTTGCCATCATCCCCGTTGCAGTGTCCACCTTGATACAAGGTGCCCAAGTGCTTCTCCAAACTCCAATATCCATACAACAACATCAACTTTGTGAGTACCGTCCTGATCTCGGCGTCTTGGTGTTGGACCAACTTGTTCCAAAACACGTCTAAACAGTAATGCTCTATGAAAGCAATTGCTAACGTGCGAGCAAAGTAGACTTGGCTTTGGTTCTTTGAGGTGAACGAGTCAGACCCGTTGGTCTGTTGGGTGGCGACTTTTTCCGCTGTTGTTTGGAGTAAGTAGTACACGAGCCATTTGTAAGATGAGAGGAGCGATTGGGGGGTCATCTCCCCGGTGAATTTTAAGTTGTGGAAGACAGATTCGATTCTCAGGAAGCTCAAGGTTCCCATCGGCATCTTATCGATTAGCTCGGAACGGTGGGGATTGGAGTAGATGGTCAACAGCCAGTTGCTCGTTTGTTGAAGGAGAACGTTGTTGTCACCTCTGCGGAGAAAGTGCTAATAATTAAATGACAACTCAAAATGTGTGGGTAAATAATTATGTACGCACTCATAAGTAACATTGGCGTCATGATCATCCCTCAGCACCCCGATTCCAGCCGATCTCAAGTACCCGTGCCCTCCGCACGCTTCTCTGCTTTCTTGTATCGCATCCCTAGCTAGCCAGCCCCCTATCGGTTTCCCACTGGACGATAAGACATGAATTTCGATCCCCCAATTTGAAATGAGCTCAGGATCAATATCCGTATTAAAGGAGGACATTATAAAGTTGACAAAATCCTGGTAAATGGAGTCACCCACGAATTTAATGACATATGCGGCCGCCAAGTACGGAAATAGTCGCCATTGCTGCATTTGATATTCAATAACGGGAAGCTCTTCTGACGCATTTGTGGCGCTAAATTGTCTCCTAACGGCAGAATATCGGATAGAAATTGTTACAGCGGAGGCCAAGTTGGCGGCGCACATAGTAATTATGGCGGCTCGGGCTGCAGAAGTGTTTCCCAGTGCGGCGCCTGAATAAATAGTGAGTTTTTGCGATAAATTTTTAAAAATTCGTGGTAAATTTGACTTACCAAACCGTTTATTGGGATCTTTAAATGGGGAGATATAAATCCCATCCCCACTGACGCTACCGGTTTTATTCAAGAGTGATTCTCTCTTGATGGCGTAATTATCAAAGAGCATGACTCCATTGTCTAATCCGTTGAGACCAACTTTCTCCCCCATGTCAAAAATGGTAACGCCGGGATAGGTCAGGAAAGTTAAGGGGTCACGAATTGGTACCACGAATCCATGAAGTCCGTGACACTGTCCATCCGGCGTGTAAAGTTGTGCCATGACGAAGGCGTGGGTCGTACTTTTTCCCAAACCACCTGACCAACATTTTGCTGCCTGGATAATACACACGCTATAATGCATCCAACCAAATTACTAAAGTTGTAAAGTACCTCAAAATCTGGCGTTTCCAGGATAAAAACACCTTTCACCGTGTCATATGTTGCTTTTGTACGGAACGCTTTAGTGTTTGTTCCATGACCTATTTCCGTCATTGCGACGCATCCAGTTAACTACAATTTTAGTCATGAATTTATAAGATGATACGTGCCACTTACAATGGAGGTCTATCAATCTATCCTCTCCTTTGATTAAATTACATGCCAATCGATCGCAAATTTAATTAAGAAGAAATTTTCAAATGACATTATTTGCCAATGCGCAGGTTTGGCGGAGGTATTTGGACCCGAAAAAAGAAAACGGGCAGTAAATTTGTGAACTTTGGCGAGCGTTTTCTCCTCTTTACCTATTTATATATTTGCATATGACTTTTGCAAATTACATATTTATTAAGTTTGCGATCGATTGACACTAATTTGGTCAAAAATCGGAGACACGTTGGGGGACCTTCTTTGTTACTAAAACATATTTAAAACATATACACACCTCCATTTTGTACGCTTTTTCCAGAATGTCAAAGTGATATCCACTTTTCGCCAAACCTCGCACAGCGTTTGTGAAGAAATCCATAAAAATTGATCTCTTTGTACAAAGCGACCAAGAATATTGACCCAGAGCTGTAGTCATTGCCATCACCTGGACAAATTAACCAATTAATAAGTATGATACCCGACTACTAAATAATTTACTAGTTTTCCCCAAAAACTTACCTTAACAGGATCTCCAATCTCCCCTTTCGTCTCGTTAAGGAAATCCTTCTCCATTATTCGGAAAGTTTGTTGCATGATGACACGTCGTTCATCATGGAGGGATCGTTTTGTCGGGGAGTAGGCGAATATCGGATCCGTCGCGAGAAAATTCCAGATTTCATACTGTTAATTTAAATGCAGACGATTAAGAAATAACTTAAATGTGACGAGTTAACCTTAAAATGTACTAATGTACTAACCTTAAACCTCAAAATTTCCTCCTTGTCAAGTAACAAAGCCATAGTTTTCCAATTGAAGGAGGCTTGTGCACGATAATGAGCAAGGGGACCCCCTTCCGGGAAGGACGGGGGAAAAGAAGGGTCGTCTTTAACCATTCTGGCTGGTTTATTAAATTGTAATGATTATGTATGTACTTGATGATGAGCAGAGTGAGCTCGTTATGTGGATACACTTGCAGGAAAATATTTAATCAATGAAATGAGAGTTGAACTTTGCCCGTAGTTCTCCAGTTACAATTTTCTTGTAGCTTTGAGAAGAAAAATACGCAATATCTGATTTTGCGAAATCAGTTTCCTTATGTTTTTATGTGATGTGTCATATGTGACTGAAAGACTTAAATGGACGTCAGAATAAGTATTATCAGGATATGAGTACATATGTAAATAGTCAGTTGCAGTTTGTAAATGTGCTATGTGTGTGTGTGTACTTGTCTTATCAATGAGTTCGATAGCGTGATGGTGGGAAGTGTATGGATATATCCAACACTCTGTTCGACATTTATGTATAAATTTAACCGTAATAGTAATAACGGCAATAATAAATAATTAAGAATGATTCCAAGTGCATAAAATGAGCTCTCTGAGGACGAGTTCAAATGAACTCAAATTATCCAATTTTCTACTGTTTATATGGGTTTTTGTCATAACTTCATATGAATGCAAATCCGAAAACATTATTTATGTACTTAAAGCCAAATAAAATTCGATTAAAATGAAAGATAACTCTCTCCGATAATATTAGATCTTCAGAAAGTGATCACCCCCACACCCCCAGTTGGATTTTGCGGAGGAAATAATATCGTCCGATATGACATACATACATCACACATACATATGTAAATATGTCACATTTGACACATGTCAAATCATAATTGATCAAGTTTGGGCGAAATTACGCAAAAAGTAACGAGAAATTATGCAACAGAGTTGTTTTAAAAATTTGCCGTACCGTATGACATGCGTATTTATAAATAGGAAATGGGGAGAAATGTCAAGTAGTTATGCAAAATGTTTGCTATTTGCTCATTTTGATAATTTAAAACCACCGACTTGTTGAATGCGAATGGTTCGTTTTAAGGACATTGTTATTGTTTTCCACTATTTATTTAAAACTCGTAAAGGTTTATATTTCCAGACCAAAACAGACACTTGCAAAGCTGTACTGAACGACTCTTTTATAAAAGTGTGTATGTTAAATTTTCAAAAGCGTACAAAAGTGTTTCACTTTATATCGCAAACAGAATTTGAGAGGTGCTCAATTTCTAATATCATAGAAATTGCATAAATTTTCAGTGTCAAGTAATAATTGGACGTCAATCATTTGCTAAAAAGAATGCATTCGCAATACTCCCTATGCAAATATTGAGACAATCGAATTCTCAAAATTAATCGACTAATGTGACCTCGCGACTTTGGTTACTTATTTTTTCTCATTTGCAAACCGCACCCAGTTCTGTTCGCCACATTATCGTTTACGCAGCAAAAATAAAAATCATGTCGAAAGAAATAAGTCGGCTGGAAACATTTGGTAAAATTTCGACCCTTACACCATGTTCCCAGAAAAAAATGCGAAAACCTTTAGTATTTATTTCGCTTTTGGTCGTTGTTGCAAATTCCGCATGGAAATGGGACACTCTCGAACTCTCCAAGTATACCAAAAATTCCGACAGAATTCACTACATTACGTTTAAATTGGCATTGTGGATTTCATACGCTGTGGCACGACTTGCATTTCTGATCTCTGCCCCCCATTTCATCCAGTTGTACTCGGAGGCTAAACAATATGCCCAGGATTTCATGCATCAAGACGAAAAAAAGGTAGCGAGGAGGTTCAAATGCATCTCGCTCATCTTTCTGAACACGATTTTCTTCGGACAAATTTTGGAATTTGTAATTCGTCATTTTTTTCAAGAAAACAATCCCGCAGAACTTGATCACTGCGAACGTGTCCTCTTCCCATGTAAAACCTTCCACTGGGTGCATTTTGGAATCACTGCATTCTTTCACGTTCTGGACTCAATGACACTCTATTATTTGACATACTTCGCAATCACGATGTCAAATTTTCTTATCAAAATTTTGGACCATTTCCAACAGAAAGTAGTGAAACGGTTGGATTCATCTCGGGGTAACGTTAATATTGATTTTGTTACCCCGATATTCATCCTGAAGCAGCATGGACAGCCAGATAAGGACGGAAAGGTGGAGAATAGTGGGATAAAAGGTGGCCAAGAAAGCGACAAGACGAATATTCACGCCCAATTCTCCAGAATCAAGGAACTCTTCAACAGTATGAATTGCGCGATTGGTACTCCGATGATTGTCTCGAGTTTCGCAGACATTTTGGTCATGATTTGCATCATTTATTCCTTTATTCCGAGGTTGGAAAGAGGTGGTTATGGTGGAGGTGGAGCAGGAAGAGGTCCGTATGGTGGTTGGGGTGGCGGTGGGGGTGGAGACAGGGGCATGATTATTCCCGGAGGAGAAGAAATGCAACCAGGTTTTAATACCACGGTCGATAACGTCAGCAATTATACTGGAACGGAATATTATGAAAATCATGTTGACGGAGGATATCACACATACGGAGGAGCAGAATCCTATATTCCGAAATCTGGATATCATTCGATGCAGGGAATTCAATTTTCGTACGTCTTTGCAGTATTATATGAGGCACGGATGCTGTTGGTAGCGTTAGTTGGAACTTTCCTGAAATTTGAGGTGCCTACATAAATGATGGAAATTTGTAAATTAGCACGAGTCTTTAATAAAATTGATAAACAGATTCAGAAAATGAAGGACATTCTGGACGACAAGATTCATCAGAAATCTGGGCGTGGAGAAAAAATGTGGCTCAGTTCAACCGCGGGGGAGGAGGAAGAAGAACTTGAGTCGGTGGTGGATCGCGTGGGGAAATGGAGCTGGTCATTACGACCGATGGATATGTTCAATGTGGATTTGAGCGTCATTCCAACGGTGAGGTTACATTATTTTGCACAAATTTTACTGAAAATGTGTAACATTTATTTATGTTGTAGATGATGGCCTGCGTCATGACATATGTTGTGGTCCTACTGCAAATCCAAATCTCAGAAACGTGAAGTCAAATATGTACATACGCACAACATTGTGTGATTTCCGACACTTTTAATCATAATAATTATGTTTAGATGTCGCACGTACTTTATGGTACGCAAATTATTGTTTTCATGGATTTCATGCATTGTTAGGTAGGCTTGCATTAAAAATTCTACCAAAAATAAGTAAATAAATCACGCTATGTCTACAGATGTACATATGCATATACGAGTTTGTGCATAAAAGTTTATTTTTCATTTCCAGCATCCTGAATGCAATCATCCTCCTGCACTTCCCATGTAAGAAGATAAACCATGCATTCACATCTTAAATTCCATACTATTAACCTAAATTACTTTGAATTGATGTAGCTAATTCAATTCCAGTCCCCAGTTTTTCGTTCGACTTTTGTAAATATTTATATGGCAATAAGATAGCGTAGTATCATTCTGAATTCTGAACACTTGGACATCAGTGATTGTAGTATAATGTTAGTGAAGCATGTAAATAGACTCGAATTAGTGTAGTTTCACAAATTTTGATTAGCTTAATTGTATGTTTAGAATGGGATCAGCGTGCATGTTTCCCATGATTTGCCACAACGTTGCAACTCTCGAACGAAACAGACAAATGTACAACTTACATATCATGTAAAACAACATTCATAAGAGAAAAACAATATTTTCCTCTTCATGCGTGAAAGTCTGTTTTTAACCTGTAATGAAATATTGGTGAAATATCTGTGCGTTTCAGAAAATCAACTTTTTGAAAAAATCCTTTAGAAACACATACATATCTATTTGAGTAATATCATGAATTTTTAAGCTGCTTTACGTTTTTTTAATCTGAACTGCATGTTTAAAGGAAACAGGAGGTCTTTACTGATAAAAATTTGTCTTTAATCACAAATGTGGAAAACATATAAGGCTATCACATAATGTAATAGCCTGAAAAATGATAAGTAATTTACACATCATTTTTGGTGTTTTGCAATTGTTATAACTATTGTTTGTTATCGTAACATACCTGAAAAACGTCGAGTACAACTTTCTACATATAGCCCGAGTAAGGATTTATTAGTAAATATATAAGCACATACATATTTATTTATCAGTTCTTTCCCAAATCTTGATCCAGACAGATAGAAATGACGGTTATGTATGTATGTACATAAGCCCTGAGTAATCCTAAGGCTAAAAACTGGAATGCATCATCCTACTAGAAAACTCGATTGCTCGAGAGTTTCTTACATAGTCATAATTAATAGGTGCACACACGTATGTATATGCTTTATGACGAGTCACGTTGTATTTTCCAGTGGGAAGGGCGATGTGATTGTGACCTTCGACTATGCACTTGTCCAGTACACAAATGACCAGCATACACGTCCATGTATATACTGTTTAGTATTTGTTATTGAACCAGTCACGAGAATGAAAAAGAAAAGTTGTTGCTGTGGATGAGTAATCTATAGGAAAAAGTGACAAAAAACACTGCATATTTCCAGCGAGATACATACAAAGAATGTGCATGAATATGTAGAAACGATGTATACGTAGGTATGTGGGCATCTCCCTGTCTTTCTGTAACACCATCATTCCCGTTTTGGCTAGTCATGTTGTATAAGTGTTGTTTTGGCTTCTAAAAGTTGTTCAAGTGCGAAATCAGCATTATTCGTCTTTCAGCTCTCGCACATGTACGGATTTCCTTGCAGTCAGTTTCTACAAACTTTCATAGATAATTCATAATTACACTTTAACGACAAAAATGGAAGAAATGGGATCGCCACCTCCACTTTCAGAGCAGGAGAAAAAGGACAATAAAACCCTGATGGGAGCCATGCCCTTTGGGGTGATTGCTGCCTTCGTGGTAATCGCAGTCACTGGAGGTCTTACCCTCAGTGGAACGATTAATTTGGCTGGTAAATATTTGAAAAATGTTAATAAAACAATTTTTTATACTATCTAAATATGCATGTAATGTTAAGGTCGCACCGATTCACTCCCTGATTACGGATCTCGTATGGAATTCACCTTCAAGTATCTCACCCTTCCTGCCGTCTGGATGGTCGTGGTCATCCTAAACGTTATTTTCCAAAGGTCACGAACGGGTGCCTTAAACCCACTCAATGGTCGCGACATTTACTTCCAAAAGCAGGCCAACATTTTACAAAACTCTTTCGAACAGTTCATCCTCTCCGCATTTGCACAAGCGATCCTTGTCGCGTTCATTAATGAACAGTGGACGCTGCGAACGATTCCCTGGGTCAATTTCCTCTTTGTGATTGGAAGGATTGAATTTGCCATCGGCTATCCAAATTATCGCACTTTCGGTATGTTTTGTGGCTTCATTCCCACGACGGGAATGTTGGGGGTAGCGGTTTACAAATTTGTTGAACATTTATTCTTTTAATAAGGTTTGCAACTTTTGTAAATAAATTATTATGTATACAAAACAAGTAGAAATATGTGTTTATTTAATTGTTGTCTATCCTTCCATCCCACCTTCCAGCTTGACACGCCGCATCAAAAGAATGTCCTTCTCCTTTAATTTTGACCCATTTTTTTGCCTTGAGTCCTACAAAGTCGTGTCCCCTCCCGTCCAGCGTGACGCCGAGGAGGTCACACCCGCTCGCGGTGACGGTTTCACTGCCCTCTCCAAATCGTAAGTACCAATCCCCAGAAATATCTTGGAGCGTGTGTCCAGTTCCTCCCATTATGGAGACGGCAGTACCAAATTCGCACCTACTCTGACCATCAGTGCTCTGGATGGAAGTCACGCCGAGGACAGAGTGGCCTGCCCCCTTTCCCTCGATATTCACCCCGTTGCCCCTGTTGACACATACCAGGTTGGAAATGGTGTGACCATCTCCATCTCCAAGGGCAATAGCGAAGCAAGGGTTTTGTTTGAGGAGCTTGTTCGAAGTTATGGATCCATCAGGGAGCGAAATTTCGGTCCAGTAACAACCCGTATTCGCTTCCAAGTTGGACAGCGTGTTGTGATACCCGTTGACTTGGATGAGAGGTTTGACAGAGCGGGGGTCAGTGGTGGACGCGTGGTGGAAGCGAATATTGGAAACTGTGCAGCGATTCCCTTCGAGAGATAGGAGGGGATTTTCTCGATCGCCGGATGTGATGGAGGATTCGGGTCCTTCGCCACGAAGGGTTACGTAGCTCGTTGGTAGAGTGAAAGAGCCGACGTAGGGTCGGTTGAGAAGTTGGATAACGTCGCCAGGGGAGGAACGTTTGAGGAAATAGGTCAATTCCGTTGATGATGTGGCGACTTTTACGGTACGAGAGAGAAACGTGTACGGGAGGCAGGATGACTGGGTGTGGTTTCTGTAAATACGAAATAATTTCATATAAATTACGACCATTATTAGATTGTGTCACCCTTAATTATATAAGTTCCTAACCCTTTGGTGTCGATGTAAAAGAGCAGCATTTTTATAACGGCAGTATTTTGTAGTAATTCAGTAGGCACGACAAACTTGGCAAATTCTTCGGACGTCATGATTGGATAGCGAATCAATTGGAGGAGAGTGGATTGTAAACGTTCCAAACGTGCCTCATCTCCTTCGGCCCATCTAAACCACAAATATTTAATAAAATTATGCACATGCATTTAAAAAATAGCTCACGAATACGTAATCAAGTTGGAAAATTACTTGACAATCGCAACAAAAAGTTCGACTTCTTCCACAACCATGTCGTCCGACTGTAGAATCGCTGTCCACGTATTTGGACTCCAGTGTCCATCCTTACCCGTGGTCAAATATACGTTGTGGTGCAGCAATTGTGAGATGTTTCTGCCGAACCGAAAACAAAATTGCTAAAATTGGATTCAAATATTGGTTAACATGAAACCTTACCCCTTTATAAACCCTAACGCCTTTCTGCTTAACTCTTCATTTAAGACTTTCGTAGATTCGTAAATATTGACGCAATTATTCATGGAAAGACTAGACTCGAGAGTGGTCAAGATTTTTTCTTGGAGTGGGATTATCCCATACATGTCAGCCATTACGAAGAGGTCAATTAGCTCGTCACCTCCACGAATGGTGTCACTAACGACAATTTGATCCGTGTATAGGTACTGCATCAAAAAAACTTATGATTAAAACACCATTTCACTCAAATTATGCATTATTCTGTATTTTCACACCTTTAAAAACGTTTTAAACACGGCTGGTTCAAAATGGGGGAGCTCTACTCTTGTCAAATGAGTGTCCTCTTTATCACCACTTTCTGTGTCACTGAGCCACCGAGAACTCAACATGGAACCAAAGACATCACTTCGCATGAGCAAAAAAATTTTGTGTGCTTTAATTCCCACTTTTTCCTGACCTACGATAAATTCCACGTCTGCTAAATCTCCACTTTCCAGAAAACTTGACAATGTTGATTGTATGGAAAATGAGTTGGAAAGTTCATTGCTCATTTTGGTGGATTTCGGAGGTGTTGATGACATTAACAATGTTTTAAATGTAACGAAACTTACTTCTGTTACGCGAGTTTTATGTACTATGCTTATGACTCACATTTATGTTGATAAGTAGGTTTGCGCATAAATAACTGATGCAAAGGTGCAGTTGTGGATGGACCTTGTTGTGTTAGCTACTACACGTGTACAAATGCATATGAAATTCGCATTGCAAATACGTACACCTAATCTACGTGTGCAGGCCAACATTTCTGATGCAATTTCATGCACATATTTTGCCATTTAGTATGTGCAGAGTTTAAGCTGGGCATAATTTTGAATTAAATGAGATGACTCAATTTTTATTTTTTGATGCATTTGTAATTAAATTCTGATGTTTCAGGATGCTTGTTTTTAATTAAATAAATGTGTAAATATTACTACACCTCATGGGTACATATTTGCTGTGCAGGATTATTTAAGTCTACGTGAGTAAATATACTGCAAAAAAATCTGAGCCGTTTATTTATAAATTTTCCACCAAAACCAGTTGTATTTAATTTGTAAATAAAACTTGGCAAAAATGCGCTATTTTTCATTGCGAGTAACCTTCAACTCAAACCTTCATTCAACAAAAGCCACTCAAAAAATACCATTTAGCACTATGTAATCCGAATAGTTTGCAAACATTTAGACGGCTGGGTAAACACAACCCATTGATCTGCGTCACGTAAAATGTATACATAACGGAGAAATGCATTATGCACAATTTTTAAGAGACCTTTATGAGACCGCAAACTATGTAATCCAGATTACAAAATACTGCAGCTAGTTCATCCTTGCAGACGTAAACTTTCCTGTTTGAGTTGATGGATTAAGGTAGACGGAAAATAATACAATTACGGGATGAAACTGCTACACAAACTTGTCGTGGTCAGCACGGCATTGTGCGGGTTTCCGAGTTTGTTGTACTTCAAAAATGATAACATTAATCGGAGTCGAAATGAGAGATACGTTTGGTTCAAAGATTTCACACCAGAATTGCCCCCATTATCCATCCAAAAAACGTATGATACTCCGAAGGAAAATTCGCATTCTCATTTTCAAAAACTACCAAATCAGGTATTGATTTGCACAGAAATATGAATTATTAGTTTGACTAACGATTTTTGAAATTTTGTAAAAAAAAAGGTGGAATACCAAGTGTTATCAACCACGAATAAAACACTTTACAGAATCGACCCATCCGTTCTGGCAAAGGCTCGCGTGATTTACAACTTCAGGCAATCGATCAGAACGGACTTAAAGGGGTTTGATATTGATTGGCAAAAAAGCAAGAAAAATTTAGTTTAAGAATTTATAAAAAACAGGAATCACAAAAACAATACTTTTTTGACAGGTCACATTCCTGAATTTGGTGGCAAACCGATACGCAACATCATAATCTCCACTTGGCGATCAGGCTCAACCTTTTTCGCCGAGTTGGTTAGCAGTCATCCCGGAACTCTTCTAATTTTTGAACCCTTCATGCATCTGGAAAGCGAGAGGGTGAATAGAACTTTGCGATTTTCGAAATTTTACCTACTTTTGATTATATTATTCTCATGTGTAGATTCGTACCCGAGGGGAGATACCAAATGCGATAAAAATGAGTAAATCCATTTTTGATTGCCAATTTAATTATACTGGTAATTTAAATAATAGAAATTCGATCACGGGATGTGTTAATGAACGGCATAATTTATGAATTTGTTTAGAGTGGACTAGAAATAGTGGGGACTTCATTTTCGGTATGATTAGTCGAAGCGACAAAATGAAGCCATTTTGTGCTAATGTTCCTGACGGTTGTCGTGACCCTCGATTTATTTCGAAACTCTGCAAAGCCTTTCCCATTCAACTAATCAAATTTGTAAGATTCAGGTTGAAAGATGCAGAGGAATTGTTATCGGATGAAAAGTAAGAGTTAACTATCCCCAAGTGCTGAATTATTAAGGGTGCATGGAATTTTTAACGTATTTATTTGTAGATATGATACTCGCCTCGCTTACCTCGTCCGTGACCCGAGAGGTACAATGAAGTCGAGGAACAATGGGTCGAATTACTGGTGTGACCATCATCCCGATTGTTCTGACGAGCGTCGTCTCTGTGCTGATTTGGTGGATGAATTTGCAGATGCAAAAATTTTAAGGGAGAAATATCCTACGCGTTTCAAGTAGGTTTTGTGTTGCAATATTTATCTCATAAATTTGATCAATTGCTAAGATTTTACGATGCCACAGGGTCTTGCGTTACGAAGACGTTTCATTAAATGTAGAACTCGCAGCGAAAACAATGCTTCCCTTTTTTCGATTAAGCTATCACTCGAAAGTCAAGCATTTTGTTACCCTACATTCGAGAATTACTCGAAAGGATGAGTTTGGCACGTACCGCAATTCAAAAAAGACTGTGTTCAGTTGGCTTAACTATTTTCTGAATGATGTCACGCGTTTGGACAGAATTCAAAATTATTGCAAAGAAGCGATGGATTTGTGGGGATACAAACCTTTGGATATTAACCAGTTTAAGGCAGAGGGTGAAAATTATCAAGGAAATTACACGCTGAAAGAGCTTGTTTTAGACCGCCCGCCTTGGGAGGATATGAATTTGTCATGAGTTATTATTGTTCTTTTTTAAATTAAGACTTAAGATTGTAAATATGTAATTATGTCTGCGCAAAGAAAGCACTCGACTGTGGGGCTGCAGCTGCTCTGAATTTGGCCACCGCATCGGAAGCCTTCTCCATGTTGGAGCCTTGATTTTGCAAATCGTACACGATAACATTGTGCTTGGATTGACCCATTTGACTAGCCCACCCGTCCGGGTTCTGTCCTATGTAAGCAAATGTCCAAGTTCCGAGGGCTTCCTTCTTTCGAATCATGGCTTTCACTGAAGAACTTGTAGCTTTTTTTGAGCTATTCTCTTCGCCGTCTACAAAAGGATAATAAATGTTGTCATATTGTTTGGGAATAGATATTTAATATTGAATTTATGTATTTAATACCCGTCATAATTAGAACGAGAACTCTTTCATCAGAATTGGCTGCAGTCTCGGCAATCCTTCAATCCACAAAAGTTTTAGTGAATTGGATTTTAATTTGTCAGAATTTTGAAGATTAACTGGCATGCATACCGAATCCCTTCGGAGACTGCGTCATACAAAGCTGTAGAACCCCCTGGTCTGTAAGATGACGTAGTCAAGTGCGGTACTTCGGCTAGTTCGATCGCCCTGTGAGCTATATTCACACCACTGCTGAATTTAATGAGGATTAGTCGTGCCTGGAAATGAATCGATACATACATACTTCTGTATTTTGGCACTTATATAGTTTCGTATGTACAGATATCTTTTACCTGATCGTTTTTAATTGCGCGTTGATTATCAACAAATGAATTGTATCCTCCGATGACATCTGCTTTTTGAACGTCCATGGAACCACTTTCATCCAATATTACGACGATTAAAGTTTTTGTACATCTACGAATTGGGTAGATGGGTCGGCTGATGGCAGAGTCGCCTAAAAATATCGATATTCATATTTAGATTAGAGAATTATGCATGCAACTTCAAAATGTGAATCCCATACTCATGACCACTGGTGGATCGTCGAGCGCAACGGGGTCACATCCATCGTATTGGATTTTCTTCCCATACTCCGGTGCGCTAAGAATAAGAAAAATTGGAAAAACCATATTTAACGAGAAGTAGGTAAGATGGAAGCATGGATGTTAAATTACCTTAATGTCTGGGATACTAAAAAGAGGAAAATAATGAAACTGCCTCTGTTCATCGTAAATATGTGCTTTTTTGTAATTTTTTGTAAATGCGTATATTATGTGCAAATGTACAACGAAGAAAAAGATGCAGAAAGAATGATGAGGTGGTTCAAGTCAGTAGTTTGCAATTTGAAACCAGACTAAATTTGATGCTTTAGTTGTGCGGAACCATATCCTGTCATAAACGAATCAAACAATACACATTTATCCGGGATATTAATTTGATTGTGAAAACATGAATCAATTGAATGAATCTCAAATGTTACTAAATAAATGAAATTAAGTAATAATTTTAAGCAGCTTGTAATTTTTAGTAAGACGAAAATAATTATGGTGAAAATTTGACAATTGATGATAACTGAAAATATGTATACGCTTATCTACATATGTGTGTAAGCTTGTCGATATCCACGCATTACTTGTAGAAATACAAATAAATATGAGAAACATTACATAAATATGTAAATGGTTTTCTACTTATAAAATAATGAAGCAACTTATCAACAGTTCCGACTAAGTAAATGAGGTTTATTTTGACAATTAATTGTACGTTCAATTATAAGAATAACTCAATGCGCTTATACAGATAGGTACATACGTCGTCATGAGTTGTTATTGTGTACTTGTCAACATTTCCATCATACAAAGCATGCACATATTTATAGTACAATAAAACTGTTTCGCACATATTGCTTGGAAATGGGCTGAAATCACAGATAACTGATAACTATTGTCCTGGCATGTAATTTTCGGTATAAAAATAAAACATTTTTCCCGGCATTTATAAAACCACCCCCACTCCCACCCAAATCCACCCCCACCTAAATCCACCCCCACCCCCATCAAATCCACCCCCACCCCCACCCCCATCCACCCCCACCCCCCATCCACCCCCACCCTCGTCCACCCTAGCTACCTAGGTTCTATCTAGCCTAGCTAGCTAGGTTTGCTAGCTCAGCCTTCCAGGCTTTCCGCGTACCTAGTTGATCTAACCTAACCTGCTCGCTTCGCTCGCTAATTACGAACGATACCCCAATATGAAATAGAATCTCACTTTGCCCCAAGGTATCTCACGTTGCCCCATAAAAATTGTGGGGGTGGATGGGGGTGGGGGTGGATGAGGGTGGGGGTGGGGGTGGTTTTATAAATGCCGCATTTTTCCTGAGAAATTCAAATCCCTCTGTTTATAAGCAATACGGAAAACCAAACATTTCTGGAAACTGATGCTGCACTTCAAATTCTCCATGGTCAGGATTTTCATATAAAAAGGCACAGGTTTGTATCAAAATGTATCACTAACATTCACCCTTTGATATCAACAATTTCTAATTCCTGTAAACCTTCAAAATCACTAAAAAATGAAGCTTTTCATTTTCATCGCCATAATTGCGACTGTATCTGCAACCCCAGTGGACGAAAAAGAAGGGGGCAGCAACATCGGGGAACCTTTGTACCAAACGACCGATTACCTCTACGTCAATGACGATTTCAACTCCATCCAGCAATCCGGACTTTGTCTGGCGGAAACTAATTCTGCACGGGCAAGAAACGGCAAGGGGCCACTCGCTTGGGATGGCAGGGTAAAAAACCTATTTATGCTTTCAATTAAATTGTCATACATAATTATGTATCCACATAAATATTCTGTTCAATGTATGTACACAGTTGGAATCAGCGGCTCGAAACCACAACAATGTGATGGTGGCACAGAATTGTTTTAGTCATCAATGTCCTGGAGAGCCAAATTTGGGAACCAGGGTCAGCCAAGTCGGGTATACTTGGACCAGTCTTGGGGAAAATATTGCCAGCGGTTATCCAGATTGCAATGCCGTGGTGAATGGTTGGATGAACTCGGCCGGTCACAGAGAAAACATTCTGAGAGATTATTTGCAAGTCGGGTGTCACAGGGCTAATCAGTACTGGACTTGCGTTTATGGCCGAGGGCGTTAATTGATGAGAAATTGATTTGATGGGCCGACTTGTACAATGAACTGTTACATAATTACTAATTCGATCATTTCTGTTTAATAAAGTTAGTAGGAGATTAATCTAAAATATGTATTATGCATTTTTGAATGATTTATTGGCACAATTACTATTCACATTTTGATGACGAACTACCAGAATGGATGTGGATTTGGAGAGTTTGGAGGAATGTCGGTAGAATTTTGCATGGCATCCCAATGCTCGGCAATTTTACCGTCGCATCCAATCCTAAAAAAGTCTCCTGTTGCATAAATAGTTCCCAAAAAGTCGAGACGAACTCTTAATGCAACGAGATCTTTCTCGGCCAGGACCAACTTGAAATCGACCTTGGTCTTGGGGGAGCCGGCTAATGGGCCGTCCACCAAGGCTCGGATTCCGTCAATTCCATCGGACTCGTTGGGGTTGTGCTCGATAAAGTTGACGTTCAAATATTTCTCCAAATTAGCCGAGTTGTGATCTCCAAAGACTTGTTGGTAGAAGTCGAGGACGAGTTTCTTGTTGGCAGCGGTGTCAGTGTTGCGACAGTTCGGGTTTGGAGGTGGTTGAAAGGGACATGGAGAATTTGGGGGTGGTGGTGGTCTCATTCCACCCATTGGGGGAGGTGGGTAAGAACCTGGTGGTGGTGGCCCCATGGGACCACCCATTGGACCACCCATGGGACCACCCATTGGACCTCCCATTGGACCAGCACCAAATGCCACCACTGATCCGATCAGTAGAATGAAAATTGCTTTCTAGAAAAAATATTGCAAATTTTAAGGGAACTTCAGAAATATGAAGTAATTTCCAATTTGCTTACCACACTCATTGCCATGATGCTGCTATTGATAAGAGTTTGTCAAATTATGGGTTGGAAGTGATTTTAATACCCGTTGAACCTTCATTTATATGGAAAATATCCTTAAGCCATGTATCACGTATGATATGAATGGCACATGCATTTATCAATTGCTAACAAAACCTATTCTATTTACTTTAAAGACAATTATGCCAGACGTATATTCTTTCAGCAAACTTGATCCGGGTAGAAATCTGCTTTAGTTAACAATGCATTGTGTCATTTTTCTTATTTATTTTACAATTATTTTACCAGATGATTAAATTAAATACTGAAAATGATGTCATGGCTGTCGGATTATCAGATCATGCCTTTTTTGCACAACTTTGCAAATTATCTTTCCCGGATGCAATCCGTAATTCAATCAGGAGTGACAAGGTACTTTTAGGATATTTTTTGTTTGTATTTTTAGATCATAATTTTCCATACTGTCAAAATTAACTGAACTGAATACAGATATATCTCTTTCATTTTGATTTAAAGCTGAACACAAAATACTTAATTACCCCTATTAATTACCACATTTTAAGCATCATAACTTTTAAGAATTGCTAAATACTTGTCAAAACTAAGTCGGTTTCTCGACCCACTGTTGCGATGTCTCACGTGTATTTGATTCATGTGAAGAAATTCGACACAGAGAAGGACATGTTTTTTGTCACAGGGAGATGCCGACTTTAATTCGCTCATTGTGGGATGAAGGTACTGGTCACTTTTATTGGGAAGAGCGTCATCAATTAGCGACACGAAACCTGTCTCGTGTAAACTGTCAGTCCAGCCTCGACAATTTTGCTTTTTTGGTCCAGTAGTTGATTTTTGGGAAGGAGTGACCCATGTGAATCTAAAATTAGAGGAAGAGTAGTCAATCAGACTGGTGAAGATTTTAAATGGTCGAGTGTGTTACCGTTTAGTTCGATCAACTTCTTTTCCATTAAATGAGTAAAGTTTTGAATTATCGGATAAACTCTCATTTTTCAAATTAACAAAAACAGGACTATCTTCATCCTTAAAAAGTATTGACGATTCGGGAAGAAGATGCATCACTCGAAAAATCCCATGCAAATGAGTCTTCATCGCTTGTCGTTGACATTGATAGTTGACTTGATTGAATCCTCCCATATCTCCGGAAAGAGGGGAATTTAAGGCGATAATTCGAGATTGTTTCTGTAAATTAAGCCAGAATTAATTTTTTGATGGACAATGATGATCTTATTTATTTACCAGTGGTACGCTTTTGTCCACAAGACTATTTCTGGATTCGTTTAAGCCTTGATTTTGTGTCATTCTTCTGGTGTGAGCTTTAGTTGGAAGGGACGCAGTGGTTTCAGATTTACGAATTGCTTCGGTGGGTGGGCGTTGATGCCAGGCTAAACGAGATGGAGATTGCGATGGGAGACGTGGCGGAGTTGGTTTGGCAATTGGTTTTTCAATTGTTGGTGGTACTTTGTAGTTGGGAGATGTTAATATTACTCGGTGAACTCGACTGCCCATCTATTACGTAAAAAAAGTAAGAAATTTTGAAGTAGAATATTTAGTAAAAACACAATTTGTGCAAATTACTGTGAAAGATTTCCATCCACTTTTCACTCTCCCATAGAATAATTCCTCTTCCTCTACGAACGCGACTGTGCCAATGAAACTGTGTGCTTGCATCTGGAAATTTATAGTGTTTAATTGATAGATTCTAATTATTTTGGGGATAACTAGGAGTGTTCGTGTAACCTGTAACATTGCCATCCTCGTTGGAAAAACCAATGCTCCTGGCACAATTTTGTACAACTGGTCTGAAGGAATACCTGATAAGGTAGAATTTGATAATCGAGTATTGACGGTAATTTACTAATTTACTAGATATGTAAGCTGACTGACTTGGCCTTTGAACCGAAGGCGGAGGTTCGAAGGCTGGATTCCTCCATTTATTAGGATTTGGTGCTCCCTCAGAGCAGTCTTCTGCATAAATATTCATAAAAATTAAGCAAGTTTTCATTAAATATGGGTATAATTTATAAAGTATTCGTGGTCGTACTGGGATTGCAGAAGCCTGGTGGTCCCCTCGGACCTGGCAAGCCTTGTTCCCCTCTGCTACCACCACCACTCCCACTCTGCATGGAATGATGCGGCATGACTGGAATGGCCGGCTCTCCTTTTTGTCCTTGGATGGATAGGCCAGGAATTCCATTCATTCCTCTTTCACCCCGGTCACCTTTGGTCCCTTTCAAAATCTGGACATGGGTTTATAGTTAAATTTGCAACTTGCAACGATAAAAGCCATTAAACTTGACCTACATTGGCATGAAGAACAGCGTCAATGATTTCTTCAATGTCTGGACAATTACAAATCTGTGCGGGTGGTGGTGGTGGCTATTTATTAAGTAGAAAAAAAAATATTTCTAAGAAACATGCAGCTCATATTTTATTGTTCTTAATTTCAGTACCATAAATACGTCTTCCTTCCTTGATTTCGGGGGTGGTGTTTCAGTAGTGGTTGAAAATATGGATTGTTTTTCCGAAGGCGTTTTTCCATTACTGTTTTGTGGATGATGATCCATCGGTCTGATTGTAATTTGATGCTTTCCATCCCCACTCCATGTTATGTTGGGGTCAACAATGGTCATCTTTGAGGTTGGCGTGTCATCGTCAAATCTGAGCTCGAGACTTAACTCGGACACTTCGTGAGACTCGTCGCTGCTTCCTTCTTCCCTCGGAGGCAGGGTCATTTCCAGGTCGATCCATGGCAAAAGTTTCATGTGATTCTCATCACCATTTTGTGAATTGGTGTCGGAATTTAGATCTCTTTGTTCACGAGGAATTGGCAGTGGAGCCTGTAATTAAATAACATTTCCTTACATGCACATGTCACAAATCGTGATTCGAACCTTTTTAGGAGTAACAGCGTTGCTAGATTGGGAGGGTTTGTTGTCTTGTTTGTATTCTCCAATGGTGACCCCCACCAGGGCGAATAATACCACTTCTGTCACTCCGCACAGCTTCATCGTTTGGTGTCAGAATTAATTAACACGGTTTCATAACATGTTCCACTCACAAAGAGGTCTCAATTAATGGTACAACACCTACGGTTTTTTACTTAGTTGCACATCACTGCTCCTATTTTGTACTTGAAAGCACGTCTGTCACTAAACGAAACAACGGTTGAAACCTTTTGTCTTCAAATTATGAAGACGTTGCAAAGTCGAGACAAACCTGAGACAAGTTCTTAAAAGCACGATAGTGATTCTGCACTTTTACCTATTTCCACATATATGTAAATCTGTATACGGTAAGATAATGGCATCTGGTTTTGCAACAGTGGTGCTAATGCTGTCAAGTTAACCAACTCCTTGAAACGTAATGATGCCCTCGAACTGGTGTTATTTACTTGGGGGTTCTGGAAATTGTACGGAAAATAAATCGAAACTGAACTGAACAGTTTTCAACTTCATTTATCTTGTAGCACTTAAAACTAAACTGACACGTTATGCATGTCGTATTTGCTAGAAGGCGTCCATAGTGCCAATAAAATATGAAACTAGGTACATACTCCTCTTGTTCACTGTTAAAAACTGTTATGCAAAAATATGTTTTGACTATAACCTATAATTTAGAAGAATGAGTGCTTTTATTTTTGCCATAAAATCCAATCTGTGCGAAAGTGGAGATCTCAAGGTGCCTCTAACCGGTGCGTATACTTGTAAATACCTACAACGCGTTAACTCGTGATGATGGAAAGATGAGACCATATCTTCTGAAACAACCACTTCTGACCAGAGATCAAAAAATACGCACAAGAAGAAGAAGCAGAGTGATGAGACTGACTGACTGACTGGCAGTTGGCAGGTTTGAGACTTGAGACGATGAGATTTTTTAGTCGGCCAGAGTGTGAATGAAACCAAGATCAACTAACCACCAGCAACGAACCATCTCTTGAAAGAATTGCGTGATGTACTTCACAACGTGTTTAATTACTATAGTCGTCAATCACAGGATTTGACCACGGGCGGAAACTGGAGTAATTTAATGATGCCCGTCTCGTCTGTGCAGTAAATAATTATACAGCACTGATGGACATATGTAGGTATTATGCACATGAGAAAGTAAAGCTGGAGAGAATTGGTTAGCAAATTATTCAACATTGCTCTGAAGTGGAGATGGATAATTTCAGGTTACTTACTGTTCCACGGTGACGACTATCTACTAACATGAAAGTGATAATTAGTACCTAATTAAATCTGGACAATGACATTATGTACACAATAAGTGTGTACATAAAGCCGAATTGGTTCAGTTCAGCATCAATATAAACATATCACAACTTTTAAGATTATTCTTTGTGCAACATCTGCAATCCGGTTGTCCGGCGAGCCAGAAGGATTTCGCACCTTCTCGCCAAATATTTTCCAATCTGGTTTTCATTTCGGTTGGTGGTGGTGGCATGATGATTTCGAATCAAAAACATGTCTAATAAATTAATATTAAAATGTACAAATTTTTATGCAAAACTTGATTATTCTGCACAACCACTTACGATATACATACATATATAATTCTGGACTGTAATCCATTTCGAGCTAATGACATGGGTACCTGTAATCCTACAAAAATTGGGTTCTGGTCTACTGAATTGCAAACATGCTCACTGCCCTTTCATATAAATAAAAAGAATCTAGTTTAATGTGCTCTCAGTTTCAGCCAGGATTAAATAACTTGTCGATGATTAACGTCACGACTAATTTTTAGCGGATCAAATTCCACCTTTGTGTTCATCTCCGCAAATTATTTTCATTTGCGGGAATGTTTTTTTATTGCTGGCAGGTTTTAAACAAAAAAGAGATTGCAAGTCACGTCGCTCTGTGCAGCAGGAGTCCGAGAATTATATGTTCTTTATTTGAGCAAAAAAACGACTACTTTATTACTCTTGGCATTTGTGTAATAATGAAATTGCTCATTGCTTCCATGCGAATTGTGCTCGTAGGGGTTTTGATTTTGTTGGTATGTTTTTGGTTGCTAAAAGCTCACGACAAATTTATACGTTAAAAAGAAGACTCGCGTCCCATGAAATGAAACTTTTTTTCTCCTTATCTTTCATCCGTGCGAATAATTTATTACAAACTGGAAACCTTTCACCTTTTCATCGACTCAAATGATGACAGAGACTTGAGTTTATATTAGTTAATTTATTACCAGAATAAAAACATTGCATATATACGTAAATGCAGACAGATTATGTTATTATTATGTTGTGATGGGATCATCTGCCGCTGGTTGCGGAATGAATGTGTTTTAATGGACAAAGAAAAAAACCCAATCATGCATTCAGTCAAATGGTCCAATGCGTGTTTGAATGACGATGAGTTGAGTTAATTAAATGCAAACATCTTTGCGTAGAATGTAAATATGTGGCCTAATTTACGGGGTTTCAGTTACACTAAAAAACCTAAAGCGCAGCACTCATGTAACTCAATCAGTAACAGACTTGCTAAATTCTGGTGCGGCGAACCACCACACCTAAGTTAAGTAAGTGAGCGCACCGGTTCGCCGAGCCAGAAACTAGCAAGTCTGATCAGTAATATATGCAATGTCTTCTGAGTTTTTAAATTTCTGACCCACGGAATATTTTGACCACTATTTGACTAAAAGGTAATCTTAATTTGCATATAAAATGTCCTGTATGCTTAATATGCAAAATTTCAGTTTTTTCTTGGTAAAGTAAAAAGTACGCAATTATGAGCAATGGATATCAGTCTAATTTCAGATCGATAGGGTAAGCTTAACTAAAAGTCGGACAAATGTGAGGACAGATGAACACGAGTACATAAGCTACAAAATTTAATGTATTATTAACGCTTATGAAAGTCTGATGCAATTATTTTTATGTAAGCACTAATCCTTGTGCGGTCAAATTGCATAATCCCTTTTCTACAACGTTAATATATGTATCATAATTTTTATCCCATAAAAGTCATATGGTACAAACAATCACCTCGCATAACACATTTTCCCATAAATTATGAAATTTCTGGTTAATGAACTACTCAACTTCTTTGAAATTGGGGAACCTGGTCCTCAAAACGACATCGTCATCAAATTGTAACTCATCCCCGTTAATTAACAAATTTCCAGATTTGAACACATCATTATCCAATCTCACAATTTTCTCCATGTATTTACACAATAAGGAGTCAGTAGGATCTACAGATTTTTCGTCCTTCTTCCCTTTTGATTCCTGTTGATAGGCAAATCCAACCAAGTGATGCAAAGCATTGATCGCATGGGGGATATCTCCTAGAGCCATGTGCAAATCGTGCATGGGTTCCATCATTGCAATGGCTTCATCATTTTTTCCCAAATGTGACAATAACTGGCAATACTTGGAAACTAGGGTGTAATGATTGGGGGGAAGTGACGACACGCCTTCGCTAAAGTCGGAACCATTGATGACGTGTAAAAGCTTGCCTTCAGCTTGATCATATTTTCCTGTGTTTTATACAAAATTGCTGATGTTATGCAGGAATTCGTTTATTAGAAAACATATAAGTATGTAGTTACCCAGTCTGGTTAGCAGGTTAATAATAACAGAGAATAGGAACATGGTAATAGTGTCGTAAAGTGGGTCCATGTTTTTAATGTTGACCACAGCCGTGTACATTTCCTCTGCTTGGACTAAGACTTTTTGTACCTGATCCAAGTCATTGGCAGATGAAGGATCATCTTTATCACCCAATCCACTATATTGCATTTCCCAGTGAGCAACTTGGATTTGGAGTCGGAGAGGATCAAGCAAATCTAAATCTTGGAAAATTGGCGAACTCACGAGATTTTGAAATAGTAAAACACATTCGTTTTCGTCATCCGTGCTCATTGCGAGATTTAATTTCATCTGTATTAGGAGAATTATGTATTAAATATTTATTTATATTAAATGTACGATAATAACTGACCTTCATTAAATCTACATTATCATCTTCACCACATTTCGAAATAAGTTTGCGGTACCAAAAAATTGCATCTCCAGTCTTCATATCCTCATATTTATTAAGCATCTCGATCGCCGTCCACCACAACTCGGTGTCCTCAACTGGATTCAAATGTCTCTCAACTTGTGAAATGACTTCGATCAAAAACTGCCACTCTCTTCTTTTCAAGATTTTGAGATTTGTGTCCAACTCATCCATTTCTGAATTTAAAACTTGATCAAGTATTTCCACCATGGATTGAATTTCATTTCGCTTATTTTGAGAGAAATCAGTCGAAATTTTATGGGCTGGGTTATGTTCCAAAATGGTCCTTAAAACTTGGTCAGCATTCGGTCTCAAGTCCACATCCCAATCAATCATTTTCATTATAAGTTCCTCTTCCTGGGGGAATTTTTCTTTTAATTCTACAGGAATATTTTTACGCTTACTTGGATGAACCATTGCCCTTCCTACCACATTCCGCAATTCTACAGCGTCTTTAAATCGGAGGAGTAAACAAATCCAAATTAGTCCAAGAGAGTAAATATCGTTTTTATGCGTTGCCCCAGTTACGGTCTCTCCATGTTCCATTTTTAGGAAACCAAGTTTTGCTAGAAGAGGACACATAAAACGTGGTCTTGACTCCACATACTCTTTCAGTGCGGATTCGTCGACTTTGCCCGAATTCTCATTCGTTCTAATAATCCTTTTAGCATGATGATTGATAAGTCCGAAGTCAGCCAGTTTTGCAATTACTTCGCCGTTGTAATTCGATCTTGTAATGAGAACGTTGTTTAGTTTGAGGTCACCATGCACCATTTTTTTGGTTTGAAGGTAAATCAAAGCATTGACCAATTGAGCAAATGTGATTCTTCTCTCCAGTTCTTCAGGATTTCTGTTTATGATCCAATCTTCCATTGTCGTCTCGCAGAATTCGAGTTGTAAAATGAGAACGGTTGGAAGGTGATGCATCGTGGTCCTTCCTTTCACTTCCAGTGCTGATGACCGGTTAGGATTGTCACAGCTGTCGTCTTGTTGAGAAATGTAGTCAAGTAGATCTGTATCCTCCTCCACCCACGCATTGTAGCACTGGACGATGTTGGGGTGACAGGTTGACGACATGGCGACGACTTCGCCAAGGAGGCCGTAAGGAATTAATTTGAGGGCAAATGTAGTTTCTAACGTTGGTTCGTTGGGTAACTTTGGTATGGGGAATTTTGCAACGTGAAAAATTGGGTGAGCCGATGACCTGTTTTCTATTGTACCCTTAAGCACTGCACCGTATGATCCTTCACCGAGTGGGGGGTAGCTGACTTTGAAATTAGCGTGTAGGGTGGAAGTGGCTGTAGCTGTAGCTGTAGCCATGGTTAATATTTTAATGTAGACGTTTAGTGGAACAGATGTGATGCATATGTAAAAGCAGAATGCATATGTATAAGCTGACTGATTAACTGGTGTGAATAAGGAACTTATGTAATCTCACCAAATAGTGTGTTTAATGATTGGCCAAGTTCCATGTATGCAAAGTAATGGCCAAGGTCATCTCCTTATCCTATACATAACTGAATATGTTGGTCCAAAGCATCTTATTTCATGAAAATCAGCGAGTGGCTTGGTTGCACATCGATTTTCTAGAATAAATATGTACTCATGAATTTAGTTAAATTAAAGGGATTAAATGTCAGGAGTAAAATATTTATGGGTAGAACACGAAAGGTCAGCGACATGTATTGGAGCTCGCACTAGACAGATGTGCTTATGCATTAATTATTTCGAAAATGATTAAGCAATTATAGGATTATTTTGAAAAATATTGGCATTCAAGAGTCCTGCAGATTCTGTGTTACAAAGATTTATGTTGTTGTCAGTTTGTTGAAATTGGTTGCTGATTTATTGTTCAATGGTTTTCAAGTCGTTTCATTTGTACTTTTAGCGGATGTCTGTAGTTGTAATGGTAAACATACTTTGTAATTAAGAATGAAAATGTTTATGCTGATTAATTCATCAATAAGAGTCACATAATAGTTTATACATTTGAAATCGCTATTAAATTAAAACAATAAGAGTTCTTAATTGTATAACGATTCTGGCCGGACCTTGAAACCGAAATAAATAAAAATAAAAAGTCAGTCAACTTTTGAAACTTGTACATACTTCGTTCTTAATGTCGCTGCAGCGAGTATCGATAATGAATATTTGTGCATTAGTCATACATTTATTTGTTGCCCAATGTCTTGGTAAGATACACAAGGAAATTAACATATTATATGACTCCAGTAATTTGTCATCTTCTGTATTTGTAGGTTCCCAATCCAATTCTCCATCCGTAAACCATTTAACTAACTGGGCATCCACTCACCCAAATGACACGACAACATTTGCCACAACGGCCAATGGAATCTTGTACCCTTCACTATCAGCTAGTCAAGCAATCGGCATCAATGGTCATATTCTCCTACAGGACATGTTCCTCTTGGAGAAAACACAATCATTTAATCGTGAGCGAATTCCAGAAAGAGTTGTCCACGCGAAGGGGGCTGGAGCATTTGGATTCTTTCAAGTCAATCAAAACATTGCGCATATTACGAAAGCCAAATTTTTACAACCGGATCAGAAGACGAGAGTATGCATGCCAATAAAAGAATGAAATTGTCTAAAATTGAGTAAACCTTTGTCAAATTGCAAAAATACAGGTTGCAGTACGATTCTCCACGGTGGGAGGAGAATTAGGATCGAGTGACACTTGGGTAGATCCGAAAGGATTTGCTGTGAAATTTTATACAACGGAAGGGATCCATGACCTAGTGGGGAATAACATTCAAGTTTTTCCAATCCGAGACCCCATGTTATTCAGCGACATTAATCGCTCTCGTAAACGAAATGCTCAAACCCATTTAAGAGATCCGACGGAATGGTGGGATTTCGTTACCCTCCGTCCCGAGACAACTCTTCATACTTTGCATCTATTTTCCGACATGGGAACGCCACGTTCATTCCGTGGAATGGACGGGGCAGGAGTTCATACGTTCAAGGTAAAAAGTTTAGCACTTAATAAATAAATAATACAAAGAATGCGCTATTTTAAGATGAAAATCAAAATACAACACTATTTTGCTTCTCTATAGATGGTGAACTCATCTGAATCCCCAGTTTATGTCAAGTTTCATTGGAAAACGAAACAGAAAAAGGGGTACTTTACACCTCAAGAGTCAGCAAATATGGCAGGAATAAATGCCGACGTGTTACTGCAGGTACAGATTAACTTCAAAATAAATGCACAATCCGAATTTATCCAAAATTACTTAAATATAACACTGTTAACTGTTTTACATACTAGGATTTATATGACGCCATTGAACTTAAAGAGTATCCATCTTGGGACCTTTTCATACAAGTCATGACATTTGACCAGGCCAAGAAACATCCGCAGAATCCGTTTGACATCACGACATTTTGGCGACCGGAAGAATACCCACTCATTCCCGTGGGAACCATGACGCTAAATGAGAACCCCAAAGATTACTTTTCTCAAGTGGAACAACTTGCTTTCAGCCCTTCTCGAATGGTGCCTGGAATAGAACCATCACCTGATAGGATGCTACATTCACGAATATTTTCCTACCCGGATGCTCAAATGTACAGATTGGGGGTAAATTCTCACCAAATTCCGGTCAACAAATGTCCCTTCGCGATTACAGGGACATACCAAAGGGACGGTGCGATGAATGTTGGCTCAAATGGGGACGGTGGTCCGAATTATTATCCAAATAGTTTTCATGGGGTTCGACAGGTTTGTACATAAATATCTAGTGTTTTGAAACTAATTTGTAACTAAAATACCTCGTATTTGACAGGCCATTGGAGTAAACACCAAATTCTCCGTTAGTGGTGACGTTGACCGGGTTGATACAGGGAACGAAGACAATTTTTCAATGGCCGTTAAATACTTGAAGTTGGACGTGGATACAGAAGAGAGGAAACGTATTTATGACAATATTGCTGATTTTCTGGGCAAGGCGGATAAAAGCGTGCAAGACAGATTTCTCACCAATAATGCGTATCCAGTAAGTCAAGAGTTCGGCGATGGGATGAAAGATGCTTTGGAGAGGAGGAGGAAGATGAAGTAATAATGTCGCAGTGAAAGACCTACAGCGTGAAGAATAATTCTAATTTTGTATTTAATTTATATGAAGTATATTCATAGTATGCAATAAACTTTTAATTTTAATATCACTGGATAATTAAATAAGATAAGTATAAGTGGACTAGATACATAAATAGTTAATTTTAGAAAGGATATTTTGTTTTATTTTAGTGGGACATGGAACAATTAGTCCTTTTTGGGTTGATTGAATTCTCAATTCTCAACTTATTATGCATAATATCAATTTTGCAAACTTTGACCAATTATCTGATACGTAAGAGCACGGAAAGTGGAGAGTTATGGTTTTTGTGCGACTCTTAATTTTTGCTAAGGTTCTAAGGTAAGTAAGTAGACTTTGCAGTTCTTTATTGTTTCTTTACTTTTACTCTGTTGCGTAAGTGGAGAAAAGTTTCCAATTGCCCCCTTTTTACTTTTTATCAGAGAAAACTTTTAAATCAAAAAGTTGCCTCAATGATTACCTGTGCTTAATAATCAATAGATATAATGGTCCGTTATTAACAGAGTAGAAAGATCAAAATGAATTGAAGAAGTTCATTAGGCCATACACTGTAATGGAGGAAAATTTATTACAAAAGCGCTAATTTAGTATCAAAAATAGGCGCATATGTAGATATGAATTACAGGAATTAATTAAATTAAGATGCTACATAATTGTTATGTTCAAAATGTACAAAAAATAGAATTCGACATCGGTAATGTCACATCTGCGGGGTTTTAAATATTTGAAGTATAAGGATCTCACCCGTAAATGTGTATGCGTCTTCCACACACCATAAAAATTAAATAGATTCGACTTTGTCCTCAGCTGCAAAAGTTCAGAGAGCTTAACTCGTTCGTATCAGAGGCAAGAGGTTCAATCCGATTATTCAAATAATTTATACAGAAGATGAGAGGAAAACCAAGCTGTTACAATGTACTATACATACATAGGTACGTTCCATTGTGCGGGGGACATTGTGATTGCGAAGTAGAAAAAGCAGATGCTACTTTCCAGCAAATACCAGTCATATTTTGCCTTGCAAATTGAAAACTTCCCCAAAATTCATGGAGCAAACGTGTCCCTTTCCTTGAAAAGGTCAGTTATACACTGTTCCTTACAAATGAGAAATGCATCTGAATGTCTCCTAGCGAAATTGTAGGTAGGACTCCACTCCAGGATCTGAATTCTTCAGTTGGGAATCATAACCACAAGCAAATTGAGATTATAGAGTGAAAAGTCGTCGTTTGCAATTGCATACACGACTCTTCTTGTGGGTTAATCCAAGTGATTTAAAAATTATTTTTCTTCATTGAGACAGATTTGAGCCTCATATAGGAGAATATTAGTATGTAAAAATTCAATGTTTTTTAGTGAACAATAATTGTGTTAATTCTTATACATAAAATAATAAATATTTAATTTACTCACTTATTGTACTTATTTCCTCGATTACGAAACGACAAACAATCAAGTTTACATTACTACATGAGTACTAAAAATTAGTTCAACTCCTCTCGGTCGATTCGGTGAAAGCTGATAAAGTTTAAATCAAGTGTAGTCGTCCTGATCAGCACGTCCGACTTGTGCTCATCTCCTCGTCCAGCTGGAGAAAGTTGTACAGTGGCATCAAGATAACCTTACCCCGCCGAATCTCAAGGCCATTCGCGCACAACGACAGGCTCGATCCCGCCCAAATCGCCTAAAAATCAGGGTCTCGTTTTTTTTTTTCACTCTAGTGACCTTAATATTTGACCTTTTGAGGTCAAACTTGGCACACACATTGCCAATCATATTCCCCAGGGTGGTTTTCAAGGATTTTGACCTAGGTCACTTCAGTGACCTTCCAGAAATCACCAAACTTGTTGCATGCTATTTGGTTTTTACACTCTAGTGACCGTAATAGTTGACCTTTTGAGGTCAAACTTGGCACACACACTCACAACCATATTCCCCAGGGTGGTTTTCAAGGATTTTGAGCTAGGTCACTTCAGTGACCCCACAGAGGTCATTCACGTTTTACGACCTCTGTGGGGTCACTGTAGTGACCTAGCTCAAGATCCTTGAAAAAACCCTGGGGAATATGGTTGCGAGTCCGTGTCCCGTGTACGGTCACTAGAGTGCCAAAACCAAATATTACGCAAAAAGTTTGGTGATTTCTGGAAGGTCACTTAGGTGACCTAGGTCAAGATCGTTGAAATCCACCCTTGGGAATGTGCTTGGCAATATGTGTGCCAAATATGACCTCAAAAGGTCAAAAAGTACGGTCACTAGAGTGTAAAAACCAAATATTATGCAAAAAGTTTGATGATTTCTGGAGGGTCACGCAAGTGACGTAGGCCAATATCCGTGAAAATCACCCTGGGGAATGTGCTTGGCAATATGTGTGCCAAGTATGACCTCAAAAGGTCAAAAAGTGCGGTCACTACAGCGTAAAAACCAAATATTCTGCAAAACGTTTGGTAATTTCTGGAGGGTCACGTAGATGACCTAGGTCAAAATCCTTGAAAACCACCCTGGGGAATATGGTTGGCAATGTGTGTGCCAAGTTTGACCTCAAAAGGTCAACTATTACGGTCACTAGAGTGAAAAAAAAAAACCGAGACCCTGATTTTTAGGCGATTTGGGCGGGATCGAGCCTGTCGTTGTGCGCGAATGGCCTTGAGATTCGGCGGGGTAAGGTTATCTTGATGCCACTGTATAAAGCGATGTGGCCTTTTGGCAGCCTGGACACAAAATGTATATTCTGTAATGTGATGGGGCGGTGAAATCTCGAATACGTGGAGGATCGAGTGAGAATAAGCGAGGAGGGGAGATTAATCTCCGGAAGAAAATTGCTGACTCGCAATCATCGCGCATACCTTGATCCGGCCTCTTCTTTAAGGAAAAAGAGATCTTTGATGAGAAGGGAGAATAACCACGGACGAAGATGGCCCACTTACTTCAATGACTTTCGCTGTAAAGTTGTAGGTGCATATCAGCCCTAAAATCCAACAAGAAGATGAGAATGTGTGCATCAATCACATTCATCTAGCTAAAGTCTCTGCAAACCTCTGCTAGCTAACAATTCGAGAACGCTAGTTCTATGATTAGTGGAGGAAACTGGTTCAGTGGAAACTTATGTATCCCTTTGTCAGGTAATAAGTAACAAAGACCTGGACTCAGATATGGCGATCTCCACCCATCTTCTTCAACGTGGAACTCGGTGGAACGATAACTGGAAAAGTTGTCGGAAGGGTCGAAGCATGATTCTAGAGCGGAGCGGATAGATCTTCTGCCCTGTGAACCTGGACCACTGAATAAGAAGCGAATAAATTAATGAGATTGATAAAAGTAGTTTTTAGTGGAGGGGTGGTTTCTAAGATAAGCGACTACTCGTTGACTTTGTAAATTGATGAGCCGGGTTAGAGTTGATTATAGCGAAAATTGCAATTTAGGAGTTGTAATCGTCGTAAATTGCCTTGTTTTCACTAAAACCTCCAAATTACAAAGATGTTGCATGGAAGCTATCTGCGAAGATGAGAAAATAGAGAGTACCCTGAATTAGGATTACGAAAATGCTAATTAGTGCCGAAGGAGCGAAATCCTGGCGACAATTAGGGGCAGACATTAACACAATGATCGTAATTAAGTAAGGCAGAGGAATGTGCACAACTGTATCTATGAGTACCTTTGAACTGCTTAATTTGAAAATTTAAATATCACTAAACTACTTCATTTCATACTAGCACATAGATAATCACGAAAGCTGAGTATTGAATTTGACAACGGATTTATGTGAGAGAAACTGATGCATAAAGTTCTATATTTTCAATGATCTGATTAAAAAAAATAAGTATGACAAAATTACAGATTAAGTCTTTAAAGTTGGAAATATAGTAGCGTCATTAAAAAATGATTGCTAAACAATACTATGGTTTGCAAATTTTCTATTCTTGTAATATTTTTCACATATGAAAAATTAACTATCTAGTATGAAGATAGCTATGTTTGTAAGTTGGTATTCATGATGGCGTATGTTCATATTTAATTCTATAGTTGGGTCGTAAGTAAAGTATCCATTCAAATGTAAGAATTTCCGTATACATGAGTTAGTTGGTTCTAGGGAGGATCATTTCTTGTCTTGTGGGACTAATTCGCAATTTGTGTAGTCATTCAAGTGGTAAACGATCTTCTCGGATTCGGGTCACGATTTCAAGCTAATTCTCAAATTCAATGGAAATATATACCCTGTATAAGTCAGAGAGAGAGTTATGCTTTACACTATCAAAGTCTCAAGTAAATTACTGCCCAGAATTTCATATCTCTTTCCAAATAAATGGAACATTTGCATTAATTTCAAGTTTAGCAAATTAGAGCGGTACATAAATATTTTGCCAGTTTTAATTAATTTGACTGTTACATCGGAAACACATGCATATAAACAACGTGCAATAATATCCCTTAGGATCACAATAAAGTAAATTCGTAGCAGCAGATTCAGTGCATGTGTCACAACCAATTCGGTGCACTAATTCAGACAAGGTGAAAGTGACAGGTCTGTCTCTCTGCAGACAGGCTGCATCCCACAAACACTAATTTACAATACAAGTCAGCCTACATTCAAGTCACGTTGCAAACCTAAACCAAGGTGAACGTGGAGGATGTTGAAGCCTCAAGGAAAACCTATCATAGATTGAGCGAGACACGGAAATTGCTATTCTGATTTTGATTTAGCCTGCCTCCGACCTTACGGCAGGGTTTTTCACCGGATAAGAAAAGCCATGGAACTTTAAGAATACATTCGGACACCCAACAGATCGAGAATTATGCAATAGTAATTAATTGCTCGGAGCAAGCAATAATAATGGAGGGCTAGTCTGGATTCAGTGTTTACAGTTATCCTCAAGTTTTTTAAACTTATCATTTGATCACATTCTAGGACTAGAATTGGTATTTCGTTTTCTTTTGTCGTTTCAAGTTGTTTTCACAATATAAACAAAACAATTTTGAAAAGATAAAAAATAAACTAGACCAAAATTTCGAAACAGAGCAAAACAATGCCAGCTCTATCTCATTCCCACACCCGGTTGATCACC